TTTCTTCTTATCTTTGTATACTTGACTTTGCTTACTTTTTTGTATTTCTTGTTCTTCTGAAATAATTTTGAGCCATTTACCTTCTTTCTCTTTGATTTTTTCTATCACTGCATCTCTGCTGAATTCACAGTCAAAGTTCACCTCTACCCAGTACAGACGTTAACAAGTATATAGAGGCCCTGATGTATATGAAGCCCTAGTTATTCATTTGTAATAAAATGTGTATTCATCAAAATCGCAAAAGTGAAAATCCAAAAAAGTGGCGATTTCAGTTGTTTAATATTGATGATCAAAATTTATGTGTAACAAAAGATCATTTAAATGAAATCCAAAAATGGACATATATATTTATTTATATTTATTATATTAAATTTAGTTTATATAAATAAAAAAAAAAAAATGATACGTGTTTGATTAATAAGTAATTTATTTATAATTTATAAACAAAAAAAAAATATTTGATATTTTAATTAAATAAATTATTAATTTCAAATATATTAATAATAATTTTTTTTTATAAATATTTTGATATTCTTACGTGAAAAAAAAAGCATAACAATATAAAATCAAAAATATTTTATTAAAATGACTACACAACCTGAAACACCAATTAATGATTTATCTTCGATTGTTTCTCCACTTTATGAAAGTAATGAAGAAATCCAAAATCATAATAAGAGAAAAGTCGGTCGTCCGCGAAAATATACGAATGAAGATGATGAATTTATTCCTAACAATAAAGTATCTAAAAATAGAGTCTCGCAACGAAATCATCAAAAGAAAAAACAAGAAAAAATGAAGGAGATGGAAAATAAAATCAGAGAATATGAAGAATATATTGATCGCTTGAGGGGAGAATATGATTTATTAAAAGAAAGAAATGAAATATTAGAAAGGGAAAATGAAGAGTTGAAAGAAAATAGTAATGAAGGTGAAGATAAGATTAGTTCGATTGAAGTCGAAAATGGAAATATTGATTTAGGAATTACAAAAATCAATGGAAAATTTAAAGTTGTATTCAATAAATAATTAGATATTATTTTTTTTTTTAATTATATTTATATATTATAATATTTTTTTTTACGTATAATAAAATTATTTATCATGAAATTTGATTTCATTTTAAAAAGTTTGTAATGTATGTGAAATTTCAGGTATTTGTTTGTAATAAAATTTGTATTTATCAATGATAAAAAAAACAAATTTTTATAAAAAAGTGGCGATTCCACTCGAGTAATTTCGATGATCTATTTTTGTACAACTAATGATCAGCTTTATTGGAATCCAAAAACAGATATATATTTATTTATATTTATCATATTAAAATTTAGTTTAATATAGATAATCATTTTTGTTTTGTAATTGCTTTATCATTATCGGAAATCAATCTCCGAGATTTTGTCTTCTTTTATTGAAATGGAAAGAATAAACCAAAAAGTAAAAATGAATATTTTTGCTTATTAATTACAAATTTTATTTTATATATTAGTAATGAATTTTTTTTATAAATATTTAGTATTTTTATCCAAGTAAAAAAAAATCATAATTTGAAATCCAAAAATATTTTAATAAAAAAATGACTACCACTCCACCCGAAACACCAATTGCTAATTCATTATCGCTTGTTTCTTCATTTTATGATAGTAATGGAGAAACTCAAAATCCACAAAATTCCGGAAGAAGAAAGGTCGGGCGACCACGAAAATATATAAATGAAGGTGAAGGAGAATTTATTCCAAATAACAGACTATCCAAAAACAGAAATGCACAAAGAAATTATCGAAAGAAAAAACAAGAAAGAATGGAAAGGATGGAAAATAAAATTAAGGAATATGAGGAATATATTAATAATTTGAGAAGAGAATACAATTTATTAAAGGAGAGAAATGAAGTGTTGGAAAAAGAAAATGAGTTATTAAAAGAGAATAGTAAGGATAGTGAAGAAAAAATTAGTTCGATAGAAGTTGAAAATGGATATATTGACTTGGGTATTACAAAAGTCAATGGCAAATTCAAAGTTGTATTTAATAATAATTTAGATATTTGATTTTTTTTTATTTTTTTTTTTAATTATATTTATATATTATAATATTTACGTATAATAAAATTATAAAATTTAATTTTTTATTAATTATTTTATTTAAAAGAGTTTTTAATATATAAAATTTCAGTTATTTATTTTTAATAAAATTTGTATTTATCAAAGTTGTGAAAAAAAAATAAAAAAAAGTGGCGATTCTACTTGAACAATTTTTGGTGATCAATTTTGTACAACTAATAATCGGTTTTATCATATTCCAAAAATAGATATATTCATTTATTTATATTTATTATATTAAAATTTAATTTAGTATAGTGATCATTTTGTTTTGTCGTTATCAGATATCAATCTCCGAGATTTTATCTTTTTTATTAATTTGGAAAAGAATTATTTAATAAATAAAAATAAATTTGTATATCGCTAATAAATTTTTTTTTATAAATATTTAGTATTTTTTTACCTAAGCGAAAAAAATCATAATCCAAAAATTAAAAATCTTATTAAAAATGACTACACCACCCGAAACACTAATTAATAATTTATCTTCGTTTGCTTCTTCATTTTATGAAAGTAATGAAGAATTTTATTTACAAAATGTAAATGAAGGCTATAAAAAATTTTATTTAAATAAAAAAGCATATAATGAAGCACAAAAAATTCAACGAGAGAAAATTAAAAGGGAAAGAAATAAGATGAAAAAAATAATTAAAAATTATAGAGAATCTATTTGTCGAATGAGAAGAAGACGTGATTCTTTAAAGGAAAGAATTGAAATATTGGAAAGAGAAAATAAATTATTGAGAGAGAATAGTAACGAAAAAGAAGATAAAATTAGTTTAGTTAAAATTGAAAATGAAAATAATGATTTGGGTGTTGTGAAAAATAATAGAAAATTTAAAGCTGTATTTCATAGATAATTCTGATATTTAATAGTATTTTATTTTAAATTTGTATTTTATATATTATAATAATTGTTTTACGTAATAAAAATTATTTTATATTATTTAAATATTTATTATAAATTGAATTTTGTTTTATATTAATAATATTTTTTATTATAAAAAATATAAAATTTATCGAAATATCGTTTAAAAATATTAAATAAAAATGCATTATATTTTTTATTTTTCAGAAATTTTTGAAATAATAATAAGAATGATATTTATGGATATATTCCAAGATAATGTTAAATATTCATCTTTTACAAAGAAAAAAAAGATGATAAAAGCAACTGCAAACACATTATTATGTGTAAATAGGATTTTTTATAATGATATTCGAGAATATAATTATTATTTTAATTTGAGATTTACTATAAAAGGAAATGTTAAAAAGGAAGTAAGACAAGAGATTGTTGAAGCTGTTAGATTAACATTGGAAGAAGAATATACGATGAAAAATTTTAATACATTTAAGAAATATAAACGTGATAATGATTTGATTACTGAATATTCAAGATATCGTGCAATGTATTATTATACATTATATTTAGAAAGAGGGTTTGAAGATAAGAAAAACAATAGAAGTATTTTAAAGTGGTACAAATTATGTGCTTTGTATAACAGAATACCAGAAGTTTTTTGTAAATATGCTGAACGACTTATTTTGGAGTATCCTGAAAACAAAGAAGAAATATTAAAATATTTAGAAAAGGCAGTATTTTTCGGTGATAAAAAAGCTGCAGAGATATTATATGAATATTATAATGAAGAATATTATAATTTAGTTAAAGACGATTTTTTATTAGATTTTTATTCGAGAATAATGCAAGATGATAATTTTAGATTAGATAATTATTTTGGACATTATTTTATTAAAAAATAAATAAAATTATTAATATAATTTATATGATTATTAATTAAAATCTTATATAAATAAATGTCAAGTTATTGAAAATAAACAAGAAAATAAATCAAAATGGTAAAAATCATAAAACAAAATGTAGAACAAAAAGATAAAGAAAAAAAAATAGAAATTACAAAATATAATATAGAACGAAGTAAAAAGGTAGTTGTATTAACTGAATAATTCATGTTAGTTTTAAGAGACAAAACATATAAGTTAAATTCATTATCAAAACAAATGAGATGATGGTTTCACACGTACCATAATAGTCAGGTTTTGATGAATTTATAGATTTATATATGATTATGGGGTGGAGAAAGAGAAACTACCGATCATTGACATTATAATATTTACAGGTATGTATTTTTTTTATTTTGTAGCATAAACAATTTCTTAAGAAGTGTAAAGAATACAAAGAAGAAATTATCAATTTTTGCAAAGAACAAAAAGATCTAAAAATCAATAATAAAGATGATGATGGTATTATGTATTCGGATCGGGACAAAGATGTATTAATAAGTCATGAAAGTGGTTTAAAATTTTTAGTTTGTTGTAAATATCGAACTAAACAAAGTGTTGGGTATGATGTTATTGAAAGAATGGAAGGAGTTATTAGTAGAGAACTTAAAAATTATAAAGGTTTTATTGTATCTAATATAAGATATTCAACTAATACTATAAATAAGGCATTAAAATATGAAATCGAATTATGTAAAAGCAAAAGAGATTTAGTTAAACAAATTAAGAAATATGTAGAAAGTAAAAAAGTTATGTAAAATTTATTTTAAACATAATAAAAATAAATATAATAATTTGTTTATTTGTTGTTTAAATATTTATTATAAAGTTCGATTTTATACGAAATATCAATTACATCATCTGAAATGAGAATATCAAAATATTTATCTATAATATCTAAATCGATCTTTCTTAATAAAGTTATCAAGTTAAAAAAATCATTAAATTTTTGATGATGTACATCGTACAACTTTAACAAAAATTGATCATTGATAATAAAATCCAGATTATCTTTAGCATTTTTAAGATAAGATTTGCCTAAGTATGTATTTTTAGAAGCGCCGAATTTTCCATTGAGAAGAGCATAGCCGATAAAATATTTAAATGGATATTCATTTTCATCATCATTACTAAAAAAGTTATTGATTCTCTTATTTATATGTTTATATAATTTTAAGTTCATGTGAATGTATCGTATGATAGCATTGTATTTTAGAATATTCTTGTTTTCCAAAATACATAATTCGTAATAGTCTCTTGATACCCAGATATTTTTTGTAATACCCAAGCCATATTCGTAACAGAAACCAAGATAAAATAAGGATTTTGTATTTGTAGATTGTAAAAATAACGTAAATGCATCATTGTATTTTTTTTCTTTAAACAAGATATAGGCATTATCAAAAGACATTTTAATGAGTATAAAAACAATGTGATTTTATTTATATTATTTATTTTATTATTAATTAATTAGTAATATTTCAATAAATAGAGTGAAATTAGTATTTTGGAAATTTACGATAAAATTATATAAATCCTAAATATTAAATATGAATTTGATGTGTGATAACTGTAAAAAAATATACGAAAAAATTGAAACAACGCCAATCATGGATTTAAGTTGTGATAAATGCAAAAAGAAATGTACTAGTAAGTAATTATATAATGTGTTTTTATAATATACAAATATATTTATTGATTAAATATTAGATGTTGAAGAATATGAAAAACATGTTGAAACTTTTCATCATAAATGTGAAAAACATAATTACTCGACAACTAATATATCAAATTTTAATAAACATATAAGAAATGTTCATGAGAATAAGAAAAAAATCGAATGTAGAATATGTAATAAAAAATATTCTTCAACTTATTATATTCAATTTCATCAATGCGGAAAGAAAGAAAAAAAAAATAATAAATAATAAATATTAGAATAGGATTTATATATAAGATGTTTATGTAATAAGAATTATATGTAACAAATATTTGTAAAAAATTTTATTATTTAATAATAAAATTATTAATATGATTAATAATAATTTAAAATAAATAAGCTTGAATCGAAAGAAAAAAAAATAAAAAAAAATTCAAAATGAATAATTTTAATACTATTTCAAATTTTGGATTTTTAACTTTTAAACAAAATTTTATAAACAAATTTCAAGAAAAATTTAATTTATCATGCATTTTTAGTATAATAGATGAATATATATTTCTTTATAAAGGAATGTATAATTTTAAAACGTTTTTGATATATGGTATATATCAAGTTGAAAAGAATGTACCGAATTTTCAACTTAATGTACTTCTCAATACATTAAGTGAAGAGGATTCTGTGAAATATAATGTGTTTATATTTTCAAATGAAAATTTAAAAATAGATAATATCAATATACCTAAACGCATTAATATTTGTAATTTAAGAAATATTTTTGATATTTTTAAAGAAAAAATAAAATGGAATCCTCAAGTGATGATGATCAAAGATATTCCTAAAGTAATTATTGAAAATAAATCTTTGAGATTAGAAAAGGAAATTATTAAAGATATTGAAGAGGAGACTGATGAAATAGTAAATCAGGAGATTAGTGATAGGAATGAGAAATATAATAAATTTAATTTGAGATGTTTACCAAAAAAAAATCTTTATGAATCAGAAGATGAAAATGCAAATAATGGATTAAAAGATGATAAAGAATATATTCCCAAAAAACATAAACAAAAAAAGGATAAAAAGAAAAGAAAACGGGAACGAGAAATCAAAGATCTTTTGGAAAATTCGCAAGACTTTTTAAAATGGGATACAGATAAAAATATTAAAAGAAGAAAACATTTTAAAGAAAATAATGAATTAGAAATTAGTATTAACACCGATGAAAAAATGACTGATATTAGTGAAAAAGTTATTAAAAAAAGAATATCTTTAAAGGATGTTAGTTTTTTTAGACTTGAGGATTTAACATTTCGTGGAGTGAAAGAAGTTAATATTATTGAATATTAAATTAATTTTTTTTTATAAATATGTAATAGAAATGATAGTGATTTAATTTAATAATGAATAATGAAAATAATATAATCGAAGATGAAATTTATTATACGATTAAAAAAGATATTTTATTATATAAATTTATTACGGATTTTACATTGATTATAATATCATTTTTAACAACGATGATTGGTCTTTGGATAAAAAATAAATATTTATTAGAAAAACCAGAAATCAGTAATCGTAGTAGTGATATACAATATGAAGAAGAAATATGTAATGTGTGTGAAAAACATTATAAAATAATAGACGAAATATATAACAATCTTGAATTTAAAAATGATAAAGAAAATATTGAAGAAAAATTAAATCGAATATTAGAATTTTCTAGAATAATTAATAATTAATAAACAATATCGTATGATTTTTCTTCTATTTCTTTTAATTTATCCTCCTTTTCAGATATTAAATTATTTTTTTTCTCATCATATTCATTTAAGATTTCAGAAACAGATTTTTTTTCGTCTCTGATATTAGATTCTAATTTAATTTTATATTCACTTTCAATTTTTTGTCTTTTAATTCTTATTTCTTTTTTGATATTTTTGATTTCCCTATCTTCCTCTTTATCGAGACGAGTCATTAAGTTATTAAATTCGGATTCGATTAAATCTTGATCTTCTTTTCTTTTTCGTTTGAGTTTTCTACGATAAGAATTATTGATTTGTGATGTAACAAATTCAATATCTTCATTATCGAGACGATCACGACACATTGGACATGATTTATGTTCTTTTAACCATGTTGAAATACATTTCGAATGAAAAGTGTGAGTACATGGTAAGAATGTAAATGAAATAATTTCTTCAAGACAGATAGTGCATTTATTAGATAAAGTCATTTTTTAATATGTGAATAAAATTTTAGTGAAGACGTAATGGAAATACTATAAATATTGAGAATTTATAGAGATAGAACATGACAAATACATTTCCTAATTTGATTAAAGATCAAATATATCTTAAAAAGGCATTTATTTAATTACATATAATGTTTGTTACACCATTAGTCATGTGTATAACATTCTCGTAATTGACTATTTTTATTTCAATTAAAAGTATTTAAATTTACGATTTTATTTATATTGTGTTATAGAATAATAAAATAATTCCGATTCAATTAATTTAATTATTTCAAGTTTTGTAATACAAAAAAAAATTATTTTAATAAATGAACATGTTTTTTCTTATAAACAATCATATATTGCATGAATTTACATTTATCACAATAATAAAACCAATAAATGTTATTAATAGATTTCTTAAATTTCAAATTATCGAGAAATAAACAATTGCAAGTAGTGGAAAATACAAGTTTTTCATTTATAAAAAAATAAAAATATTTTAAACAACCAAGGTTAATCGCTAAATCTGTTAGAAAGATATGACTATTTAATGTACATAGGTTGAAAATAATAATTTCCCAAAAATTAAATTTTTTTGGTCTAGTATCAATATATTCATTTAAATGAGAAGAATAAATATTTTTTGAATCGAGTATAGAAGAAAGTATGAAATGATTACTTTGGATAAATATTAAATTTTGTTCTTCGAATAGATAAATCATTTTTTTTAAAAATATTTTTTCGAAAATTGTCTTAAAATTTTTATTTGTCAATCTTAGTTTATCACATATTTTTTTAGGATGTGATGTGTCGGTAATAGAGATAACATTTTTTTGACGTAATCTTGTAATGATTGAATTACAGATAATATTGATAATAATATAAAAGATTTCAGGAGATAACATTTTTGTATATATAAATTTAAGATTTTGCTAATCGGTAAAACACAAGTTTAAATATTTGATATATTACTAAGAATTTCCAAGTAATGTGTATAAATCATCATATGTTCTGCAAATATCATTAAAGGATTTATCGTCATTATTTAAAAGATTGATAATCTTTTTTTTATAAATTTGGAATTTCTCGTAATGGTATTTGAATTGAATATTATTTATATTATTTAAATGAATTCTTAAAGTATGATCCAATAGTCTATAAGAAGGTATAGTATTATCATTATGAATTTCAATATAGCCCCTTAATACTAATATGATGCTCATTAGATTTGCGATTTCATTCAATTCCTGATTTGTATTTGGAATTTTAATAACGATATCAAGATTATTCGAATTATCTGTAAAAAGAATATAGAGTAATATATTGAGAATGAAAAAAAATGGAAGAAACACAAGATAATTAAAGATAAAGTCGTGTAACAAATTAATGATAAACATGATTGAATTTATTGTTATTTTATGATTAAAGTTTATGTATATAAATATTTATTTATTATTAATATTTATTGATTTGATTTGATTTCTATTTAAGTATAAATTTGATATTGTGTTCGATAACGACAAATTGTAATTGATATAGTAATTGATCATCGAATGTTTGATTGATCATTGGATTAATAATATTTATTAGTAATTGGATTGAAATGATCATCTAATGAATAATTTGTTTTTTTTCTTTAAATAGAATCTTTTTTTTTTTTGATTTCATTAAACAACTTTTTCGTCAGGTTATATTTTGCAAGGCTTCATTATGTTTGAGTCTCAAATTGGAATATTTCTTAGTTTAAACTAAGCTCTAAGCTTCCCTAAGACATTTCTTCGGTGTAAATCCTTATAACGCAAACTCAAAATATAACAAAAGTTGTTTCATGCTACAATAAGGAAATAGCTTTAAACGGGTTAGTGCTCGGCTATTTTCTCACTTTAAAAGGTAGCAAAGATTATTTGTGAATGCCTTGTAAAAGGATGACGGATAGTCTAAGAGTCAAAAGATATATGACCGCCATGTGGTTTGACTTGGGCAATGTATATTTTATTTGATGAAATATATAGCTAACAATATATCAAAAAAAAAAAAAACAAAATAAATTAAATTATCAATCAAATGTAAAGAATTTTTTTTTTATTAATAAAATTATTAAATCATTAAAGATATAAATATTTGAATTTTTTATTGTTTGTTCAAAGTGTAAAAGTGAATTAAAATTTAAAATGGCTTTTTATGAAAATATTGAAATGGTGCAAAATGAATATAAAAAAAACCAAGAAAATTCTCTTATGATTATTCGCAATTTTCAAGAAGAGATAAAAAAACTAAAAAATGAAATAAAAGAAATCGAAAATGAAAGAGATGAATACAAAGAAAGATTTCAAATAATATCAAATTTTATATCATTTATTGGTGAATATATAAATGTAAATTATTTTACCAATTTATTTTTTAATAGTAATCAACAACTTAATGAATATGGATCTGAAAATTATATGCTTGAAACATATTCAAGTAATGAAAATGAAAATAATAATATAACAGAAAATCGAGAATTGCTAAATGAATATAATGAATATTTTTATTTGAATTAATAATATAATTATTTAATTTAATTAGTTTTTTTTTTATTTTATTATTTAAATTATATATGTATTAATTGTTTTTATCCAAATATAAATTTGTTAAGATTTAATTTAAGTTATTATTTTTATTTAAATATTCTATTTAATCTCTTTTAATCGAATAAAAAATATTATATCAAATTAAAAAAAATGGCTGATGATTTTAGAAAAATTCAAACAAATATTTTATATTCCAAATATTTAACACAAAATTATTTTAAAGATTCCAAGAATTTTTGTTTTCATTATTTTGGAAATGAATATTATATTTTCAAATTTTATAAAGAATCGATATTTTACAAGATGGTAGTTTATAACAAAGAAAATGATATTGTTAAATTGAATGAAATTACCGAATTGGGGTTTTCTTTTTCTTTTCTTGCGAATAATAATGATGCACCATTTTTAATTGAAAATGAATCAGGTACAGAAAAACTTATTATTAATAATATAAATTATTAATCTAAAACATATTACTAATTTCTTTAATAAATCAATTATTAATAAAATATTATACTATTCGGATATGGTGAGTTTTATTTTTATTATTCGTATCAAAAGTTTATTTCAAATTTGTTTTCTTGTATGAAAATCACAATACTATTCATTTACCAATATTCGATAACCAAGAATGGTGAATGATAAGTCTAAGATTTACAGGATAATAATAATGTTGAATTTTTGATACATTTGAGTCAGGGAAACTTGACGCTGGGGCCTACACCACTTGAATGAGTTTACTAACCAACATTCATTTTATAAACCATGAATGATAATTTTTATTATTGATGATTGGTTTTTCTGTAGGAGAATACATGTTATTGAATGAAGAAGTTAGAATAGCAAAAATTTATTATAATAGAGTTATTATTTTTGAAACAAATGATTTCAATAACATGTTTAATGAATAATATCAAATACAAATTATTAATTGGAAAATGATATAAATTTTAGTACTCAATTATATCAATACCAAAATTTAAATAACAATGAATTTTCCACCAGAAATTTTTTGTCTCATTATTGAAAACTATATTTTTGATAGTTTTTATGATATGAGAAAAATCGCATTTATCTCAAAATTGTTTTATACACTAACCCTAAAAAATTTTATTAAAATAACCATTATTAATAAAACTGAAATGTCTAATAATTCTCTTATACATGAATATAATCTTAAAAGAGATGATAAAGATAAATGTAAAATAAGCGAAAGAAGATTTCATAATATTAAAATGATCTTTAATGATTGGTGTATTTTATCATCAAATAAAAAATCAAGTAATAACAATTATTATAAACAATTTAATATCGAAGAAAATGAATTTTTAATACCTAAAAATATATATAATAAAAAATATTTTAAATTTTTATATGTGATTAAAAATATCAATAGAAGAGATAAACTTGAAATTACTCATGTAATTAGTAATAAAAAATATGTAATTGATGATAGACCTTTAACTTTTGATTATTGGTTTGAAAGATATAATTTTGGTATTCCGTGTAAGGACTATATATTTTCTGATGATTTTAATTCATATTATTTATCACAAAAAATTTTTGTAAAATTATTGTTAATCAAATTTCTTAAGAAAAAACGATCTAATAGAATTTAATTTTACTAATTTTTATTTTAAATAATATTAATAATTAAAATGAGAAAATAAATTATATAAACTATTTAATGTAATATTTTGTTAAAATAATAATGAACAAGAAAATAATATTAATCTTGTTATTATTAATAATCAAAGTAAATTGTTATACTTTAATTGAATGTCTTAAAGATGTTAAAGAAGATACTCCGGAAAATTTTAATTTCAAATCTGATCCTTTGTGGAAAAATTATACTGTTTTTTTATTATGTGTAATGGAATGTTCTAAAATGATCAAAGATTTTCGAAAAGATAAATTATTAGTATTGTATCATAAAAACAAAGAATTATTTGAACATTATTTAAATGTAATTAAGATTTTAAATCATAAATTACAAGATACAAATGAAAGTTTTTTTTCCTATTTGATATCATATTCCAAATTAATCAAATAATTCGGAGTTATTTTCCGTTTATTAATCACAAATGTAATAATTAGTAATTATAAATAAATATAAATAAATTGTTTATTTTTTTTTATTTTATTACCATTATCATTGATAAAAATGTCTGATAAAATTCAATTACTTAACCTTCCGTATGAAATTCTTAACAATATTTTTAAGCAAATTAAGATTTTGAATAATGTGATAATTATATGTAAATTTATTTCTTTACTCGTTAAAAATCATCAATTTAAGTCTGATTGGATTATTTATCATTATGGAAAAGCACACGCTCTTTTTTATGCAATTGGCTTAGGTCCAAGTTTTATTGATATTGATACAGTAAAAGTAATTATACAAAAAAAAGGAATTCTTTCTAGATATTTTATTCAAAGACTTTGTCTTGCTTTTGGAAAATATGATATGAATCTTATAGATCAAAAAATAAATCATGTTATTGATGATATTAATGGAAACAAATTACTTTTATTACAAAAAAAAACAATTCCATGGGCTAGTGATTTACCAATACCTGTATATTTATTTTTATTAGAAAAAGCAAATTCTTTATACAAAGATAATTTGTATATTAAAGGAAATGATATGGAACTATTTCATTTTGAATCTGGTGGTCCTTTACAAATCAATTATGCAACTGAACATATTAAAAAGAACATTTATAATATTAAAAATTTGATATTTAATTATAAATTTACACCATTTCCATCAAGAAACAAAAACACATTGTGTGAAGGTTATCCTGCAATGGATGGATTTGAAAATAATCGACAAATGAATGTAATTGCCAGGGCAATATTAATTCATCCTGATTTGGTTCAATGCTGGAAAGATATTGGTTACAATGATATTTGTAATGATATCAATTCTTTAGTAATGCAAGGATTATTTTGTATTTTATTTCCACCAAATCCACCATCTGGATGGATCAGACCTGATAAAAATATTGTTGTTAAGGAATGTAAAAAATTTATTAATTTAGGATTTAAATTTAATAATTTTGTGATTGTAGAAATTTTTCATATTCTTGAAGATAGAATTGATATTATTGGTGATGTTCTTATTATTTCGTTTTGTGAAATATTAAATATTGATAAAAATCTTTTTTTACAAATTCTTTTGATAGATGCATCGAGGTTAAAAAAAGCCAAAATTATGAATTTTATTACAAAATATTTTTCTACCCCTATGAATATAGTATATGAAAATGCATTTAATAATTATAAGATATTGAAATAAATGATAAATTATTAATTTAAATGTTTATAAATACCAATATTTATCATTATAAAAATAAAAAAAAAAAACAAAATGTTATTTCCTCTTGAAATATTATCTAATATTATTTCTTTTCTTTATGATTTTGATGAGAGTTTGGTCAATTGTTTATTTGTTTCAAGAGAATGGTGTAGAATCACTATTCCGATATTATGGCAAAATCCATTCAAATCTAATAATTTTACAATCAAAAGTAAATCTTTGAAACAAATAATTCATAATAATTTAAATGCTAATGAAGCACATGATTCAAATGATGAATATCAAGTTAAATACACTTCTCTTTTTCCTTATCTCTCATATGTAAAGGAAATACATTCATGCAAAATCATGAAAATGTTCAAAAAATATACTCTGATAACAAAAATAGTTAGTTTATTACTCAGATCTTCAAATATCATTAATTACATTTGTTTAATCAATAATTATAATTTTCCATGTTTAAATAACTATATGAAAAACCATCGTAATATTTATTTATTATTATTAAATATAAATCTAAATAGAAAAAAACTCAAATATACTGATAAATTATATAATTTAATATTATCAGGTGATGTAAAAATACCTGATTCATTTTTTAATGATATATTGCATTTAAAATCTCTTAAATTAATAAATATTCGTAAATATAGTAAATATGGTAAATCTGTTATTAATATTCTCATGTTAAAAAACCTTAAATCTCTTGTTATGATAAATAATAATTTTAGTATTAATTATATTAGTTTAATTATTAAAAACTTGACAAATTTAACCTTTTTAAAAATAGTTTCTAAGATTAGTGATGAATACACAGATTATATAATTAATGAATGTCTTTTGCATAGGAATATAAAAAAATTACAATTGAAATTAGGAGATTCTGTTTTGAATGAAACAATTTTTTATTAATTTAAATAAATACACAGATTTTTTATCTTTTTTCATAAATATAATTTTTATTCATTTTAATATTGTAAAATGTTCAATATCAATAATCTTCCAAATGAATTATTGTTTAGTATATTATCATTGTGTTTAGAATCAAAATTGACTTTATATCATATACATTTAATACAAATTAAATATGTTTGTAAACTCTGGAAAGTGATTTATCTTAAAATATTTAAAAAAATAGGAACTAAATATTATCTGATTGAAATGAATCCATATTATTCATATGATTTACCTACAAGTATTCCCTTTATGATTTTATATGAAAAACAACAAACATGTGAAAGATCTATTTATATTAATTCACTTCAATTATTTGGAGAATATATTTATCCTGAGAGTTATCTTTGCGAAAGTGTTCAAGGTGTGATTATTAATTTTCAAGAAAGAAAAATGGAATTAAAAATATGTAATGATATATTTTGTTTAAAAGAAAAATATATGGTCAAATATGAATTTGTGACCAAGGAAAAGTATTATAACACTCGTGAATGCGATCAACAATTATGTCAAAATTATAATTTTATGGAATATTTTTGTTCAATTAATAATTGTAAAGATCCATATTGCAAAGGTTATCTTCACCTTCATAAATTGTGTAAGGTATGTGTAAAAAAAATAGAAAAAACAACATATTTTTATTATGATGATAAATACAATAGCAAACTTCGTAGATCATTAGAAAAAACATCTGAAAGATATTTAAAATAGTATAAAAATTCAATTTTTTTTATTATTATTAATTTAAATCATATTATAAGAAAATTTAATTATTTATTAATTTTATTATTAATTATCCAAATAAATATATAATCTATTAATTTCATTTTCTATACATATAAAAATATTTAAGTAATGAATAATTTACAAGAAAATTATCAAAGTATAAATCAACTTAATGAATTTCATCTTAATGAACTAACATTATTAGAAAAAATTCAAGATGTATTTGAACATTTAAAGATAATAATATTATACATAGAAGACGAGATTGAACAAGAAGCAAAAAAAAGTAATATAACAATAACAACACTTTATAAAAATAATAAGTGTTTAGCTTTAATAAAAATAGCAAAAGTAATATATGAAAATTGGACATCCAAAACACCTGAAAAGTATCTTGAAGAACAGAATCGAGATCCAAGTTATATCAATACTCTTGAAGAAATAATATCAGATTTAAGTAATAGTGCACAAGAATACGAAGATCTTGTTAAAAGAATAAAGAATGGAAACATATATGAAATTAATAAATGGACAAAATGAAGTTAATACAAAAGAATATATTAATTATTTTTTTACCAAGGCTTTAATAGAATTAAAAATAATTAATAATTTACCACATGATGATGTTGTATCGAAACAATATCAAATGATACAAAAAACTATTCCTGAATTGGAGAAAGTTATTAATGAATATGATCTTATTAAAGATGAAAATGTTAATATACATTTTAATAATATTGATAATTTGACAAGAGATGATATTCATTCATTTAACCAAAACATTTTAAAAGAAATTAATAGTATCAAAAATATCTTAAATATAGATTAATTTTTTATTAAATATAATTTTTATTTGATTGAAAAAAAAACCAAATTAAAAATTAGTATATTTTTTAATTTGTATAACTCATAAATCTATATTTAAATTTTTATTTATATTTATATTTCAATAATTAATAATTATATTTTATTATATAAATAATTGAATAAATACAATTATAAAAGACAAATTTATTAAATAATTTTATTTTTGTTCAATATTGATAAAAAAAAAAAATGATTTATTTTATTTTTAAAGATTTATTAATTATATTATTTTTTTATATTTTTTCATATTCAATTCATTATTATTATAAATACTTTACTCGTTTTAATAAATTACCAGGACCATTACCTTTTCCATTTATTGGAAATATAATTAGTTTTAATAAAGATGCTAAACAAATGGTTGGGATAATGAGAAAAAAATATGGTGATATTTATGAAATATATTTCGCAAATCAACGAATAATTATTATTTCAAATCCTGAATATATTGAAAAAGTATTTAATTCCAATTCAAATACTTTTTCTAAAAGATTTCCAAAAAATCTGTATAATGAATCAATAAAAGAATTTGGATTATCCGGAATAGCATTGAATGATGATATTCAAAAATGGAAATATAATCGTAAAATATTTATACATACAATAGAATTATTATGTTCTAATAACAAATTTACTGATTGGAGTTGTGAAATATTTAAGGATTTTGAAACATATCTAAATAATTTAATCAGGATAAATAATAAAAATAAATTAATAGAAATAGATATATCACAATGGACAAGAAGATTTACAAATGATGCTATTACATTTCTTATTACTGGAAAACGTTTTTATTCAATAAGATCATATTGCGAAACATTAAATTATAATTGTGATAAAAATACAGAAAAACTAATCGAATCATTAAAAACACATATTTTAAGTATTGGATATTTTTTGTTTCTTAATAAAATTTCACGAAATTATATACCAATCATTAAGAACAAAGTTAAGAAAATAATAGAAATTAGAGATTATATAATTAATGATATTGATAATATTATTGAAAATAGAAGAAAAGAAATTAAAAATAAGATTGGTGATGAAAGATGTGATATGTTAACAACATTAATTATGGATAATAAATCAATGACAAACAAAGAAATTATTGGTATCATATATGATACTTTTATACCAGGAACTGAAACTGTAAGTGTGATAAAAATATTTTTTTATTAAATTATTTAATAATTAATATTATATATTTCAGATCTCCAATTTATTTTCTATTATTGTATATTATGTTTGTAAATATCCATGTGTCAAAGAAAAAATGCTTAAAGAAATTAAATCAGTATTTCCAGAAAATATTAATAATTTAAATTCAAGTAATTTTTCAAAATTAAAATATTGTGAAGCAATTATTAAAGAAGCTTCACGTGTTTCACCCACTGCTAATATAATTCCAAGATGTTCAGAAAATCAATGTGAAGTTGCAGGGTATGAATGGAATTCTGAAACATTTTTCATGATAGATATGGATGGTTTTAATTATAATAAATGGTCATCAGATCCTAAGAATTTTGATCCAGAAAGATTTTATAATATGGATGAAAATATAAATAAAGATTCAATGTTTGGAGGAGGAGTGAGAATATGTCCTGGAAAAAAATTAGGATTATATGAAATATATTTTTTATTAATAGCTTTATTTGGAAAGTATGATATAGAATTAGTTAATGATAAATTACCATTAAAACTCAAAACAAGTGTAATTAGTATATGTGATGAATTATTAGTTAAAATCAAACCAAAATCTGAATGAAATATTTTTTTTTATTATTTGAATAAATAAATATAAATACTAGCTTAAAAATAATTACTGAATCAAAAATGAAAAAAATTATAAATAAAATTTGGTCATTTTTATTAATTGTTAAACATGAAATTTATATTTCATATAAGTTATCAGCAGGTGATTTTTCATCAGCTGTGATACCACCTATTCTTATGGCACTAGGTGCATTTTATATACATTTAATTGAAACAAATGATAATAAATATTTTATTATTTTACGAATTTTTAAAGTTATTATATTTTACATCAATTATATTTTATATTTCGATTGGTATACTCAAATACACTCAAATGATGAAGACAAGATAAACAAACCATCACGTCCGATACCATCAGGTCTTGTAACAATTGAAGAAGCTAAAATTCGGTTAATGATTATTAGTATTATTTATCCAATTATATCATATATGAATGGAGGAATATTTTCAATTTTGATATGTTTAAAATGGGAATTATGGATTATGGCTTATGAAAAATTTGAATTGATGAAAAATCCTTTTTTAAAAAATTTATTTTCAACCTTTGGGAATATACTACAAATATGTAATAATTATTATATTATTACAGGGATTAATCCTGATATGAATGAACTATTTTATAACAAATCACGTTTATTTGAATTGTGTATATATTTTTTTGTTATGACAACAATTCAAATGCAAGATTTTAGAGATCAAAAAGGTGATAAATTTATTGGACGTAAAACATTTCCATTAGTGTTGGGTGATGAAAAATGTAGATGGATTACAATTTTGATGATGTTTGTATCAATGATGAATATACAATATATTTCATATATTTTTTTTAATGAATTTAAAAGATATGAATTTATTTTAATTAAAATTATTTTAATTATTATAAATATTTATACATGTATTAGATTAATTATTTACAAACAACCAAAACAAGATGATATTACTTATAAATTTTATTATTGTGGATTTTATTGTATATTATGTTTTTATTATGGAATGATAATTAATAAAGATATAATATTTTAGATAATTAATAAATAATTAAATTTATATAAACCTGGAAAATATTATTAATTTTTTAAAATATTTAATTAATATATTTTTTATAATGTAAAATATAACTCACTAAACCAATACAAAAAAAAAATAATATGCTATTTTTTAACTCATGTAAATTATAAAATCTATATTTAAATCTTAATTTAATTTGTTCAAGATCATATCAAGTTTTTTATTAAATTCTTGAGATTGATTTTCGAGTTTTATGTTTATTTTCTTATTTTGTTCTTCAATTTTTTTCTCAAGTTCTTCAATCGATTTTTCATAAACTTCATATTTTTCTTGTTTAATTTTTTTATTTTCCATTCTAAGAATCTCATTTTCTTGTTTTAATTCTATGAATTTTCTTTTTCTATCTTGATCACTTTTTTTTAATTCTTCTTGATCAATTTTTAATAATTTTGCATATTCTTTAATCTTATTAACAATTTCATAATATAAACATATACAAATTTTGTCTTTAAGAGATGAACTGTTTAATTCATTTTCAGCATTATCACCTAATCCAACATTTGAAACAAAAAATCCAATATGTTGACTATCATCAATTCTTCGATTGGCCATATTTAAAAATTCACGAATTTCAGATACAGGAATTTTATAATTTGGATTCTTGAATTTACATTGAATCGAAAAATTTAACAATTCATATCGACCTAGAAGAAAAATAAATTATTATTAATATTACATGTTTTCATTGTAATGTTAATGTCTACACTAGGCGATTATACAAGTAATTAGCTCTCGGAATTTACATCATCAGTCTGGAACTCCAGTACCTAGACGACCGCGAGTCTGCATCTCACTCCTAGCAGCGTGACTTAACACATTAATCTTTTACTCTACAAGAATACTAAGTGAACTCACCATGAATATCAACACAATCATCCAATAATGTAAAATACTTTTTTTTTGAAAATGAGATAAAGGTTGTGTTTATACATACAATAATTCTATTTTTTATAAGAATCTTATATATAAAATACTCGAATATTTTTCCTTTAATTCTATTAATATTTAAATTATTTGATGGACTTAAAAAATCATCAAAATCATCAAATTCTGGAATATTAACTATAAGATTTTCAATAAATTGTCGAAAAGAAAGTTCAAGACCCAAAACAACTAAATCAAGAGACATTTTTTGTATAGATAAAACAATATTAAAAACTATATTTATATATTTTTGTTTATTAATTTATTTGTCTTTTAAATTAATAATTATTATGTTTTAAGTAATAAATAAAATTAACTATTTATTTTTAAATAAATTAACAAAATCATCAGTTTCAAAAACAAGATTATATTTATAATAAATTTTGACTATCTTAACATTTTTGTTTAAAAGTAAATATTCATTATTGATAACTTCAAATGCTTCAATGTTATTTAAACTAATAAAAACAAAAGAAAAATCATTTAAGACATCATCGATAATTTTTATGATATTATTACAATGAAAGAATTTCATTTCATATCCATTATTTACTTTAGTAAATCTAATATTAAAATATTTACCATCGACTAAATAATGAAAACAAAATTCCTTTTTTGATTGATTAATATTCAAATTATCAGTTTGACTATTGATTAGATTTTTAACATCATTGTACAAATAAGCATGTGATCGATGATAATGTTCGAGTATACTTTTTTGTTTATCTTTTGGGTCACGAAATTTATAGCTACAATCATTTTGTAGACAAGAAATAGTATTGTTTATTTCATATCTAAAATAGTTTTGTCTAGACATTTTGAAGATTTGATAATATCAAAATACAATTTATTTATATATTTAATTAATTAATAATTAATTAATAATTTTAAAATATAATGTAAATATATTTTATTTGAGATAGAAAAAAGATATAGAAATATAAAGAAGATTAATCAAATAAAGCAGCAAAATTATTTGTTTCAAAAACTAAATCTTTTTTGTAATAAATTTTTGCAATTTTAACATCAGGATTTAAAAATAAATATTCATCATCGACAATTTCATATACTTTAGAATTATGAAAACTAATGAAAAGAAAAGAAAAATCATCTAAAAGATTATCAATAATTTTTAATACACCTATAGATAAAAATAATCTCATTTCAAAACCATTAGTTACTTTAAAAAATTTAAAGTTATAATAATTTCCATCAACTAAATATTGAATACAAAAACTATCTTTTATATTTCTTTCTATTTTTTTTCTATATTCTCCACCACGAGCATAAATCTGATCTTCTTCATTTTGTTGAATAGTTTGTTGTTGAGAAATATCTTGTTGAGATTGTAAAAAAATTTCTTCAAGTGTTTTAGAATAAGGTTTAATAATTTTTTTAATTTCACTATAAAGATTTTTATGTGATGTATAATAGTGTTGAACTATACTTTTTTGTTTGTTTTTAGGGCTTCTAAATTTGTAAGAACATTTTTCTTGAACACAAGAAATAGTATTATCTGTTTCAATTTTGTAGTAATTTATTGTAGACATTATTATAAATTCAAATTCAAGCTGATGGAATTTTCAAGCTGATGGAATTTTCAAGCTGATGGAATTTTCAAGCTGATGGAATTTTCAAGCTGATGGAATTTTCAAGCTTTATATTTAAAATTAATTAATAATCAAATAAAAAGTCAAATAATTTTTTCAAATATCATATTATAAATTTATTTCATTGGTTAGTTTATTAAGAAAAATGCTGATTGAAGGTCAGTATTTTAAAAGAATAGTGAGGATAGCGCGGATAGTACAGATAGCAAGGATTGTGTGGATTAGCGAAGATTTATATTTAAAATTAATTATTAATTAAAATTAATTCATAAATATCACATCAATAAATTATTTCATTGGTTGGTTTGTTAAGAAAAATGCTGACCGAAGGTCAGCTTGTTTGAGATTGAATAGCGAAGCTATTCTATCGAATAAGATATATAACAACGTTATATATCGCTCTGAAGCACGGGGAGATCGACAAGCAGCGCTTTCGATATAGTTTCCCCGTGCTTCAGCACCAAAAAAGAAATGATCAGTCAATTTCTCATACTTTTACATAATACGGCCAAAAAAATGGTAAAAAAAATGTGATGATTGCGAAATAACCACACCAAACAAGAAAGAAATATAAAGGAATACTAAAAAATAAAAAAGATAATAATATGTTTTTTTAAGAAATATGATTGGATGGCCATTTTTTTGTTAAAAAATCACGTTGTTACAAAAAATAAATAGTAGAAATATTTTGAAAATCACATGATGGGCCATTTTTTTGTAAAAAGCCAAAATAATCAATATCACATTTTTATCACTTTTTTAACACACCAGATAATTTTCTAAAAAGGCAGTTTTAAAAACAAATATAGGATTAAATAAATAATTATTAGTCAATATAAATTTGTATTAATAATATTCTTTTTTAATAAATATCATGAGTTGAGATAATATTGAAAAAAAATGTCAAAATTTAGACATATATGTTATACATCTTTTCATTGTTTAGAATGTATAGATCATTTTAAATGTAAGCAAAATGAAAAAATAAAAAAGGATGAGAGAGAAAAAATGTATAAAGAAGAGATAATTCCTGTATGTGAGAAATGTAATGTTAAACATTTTAGATGCAAAGCAAAAAAATGTACTAATTGTTGTAATTTAAATAAATGTGATTCATATCCTTGTGAAAATTGTAAGATAAAAGGGATTGAATGTAAATATAGTATTATAAAGACTCGAGAAGAATTTAGAGAATTTGAAAAAATAGGTATAACAGCATATGCAGCACAATTGGAATATACATCAGATAATAAAGTTCATGTTCAGGGATATTGTCAATTTTTAGAAAGAATAACTAGAAAAAAAGTTAAAGAAATATTTAAAAATAATTTTTTATCATTTCCAGAGATGATGAGAGGAGATAGTGATTCTAATATTTATTATGCGACAAAATTATATAATAAATGTGAAAAACATAAAAAGAATGGATGTAAATGTCATTATTCTGAAATAGAAGATTATAGATGTGAAATTTGTAATGATAAATGTCCAATTAAAACAAAAAGTAAAATAGATGGAATATCAAATTTAGTTGGTCCATTTAAATTTGGAAGTTTTCGTATATTAGGTGAAAATGATGATGATGGTGATGAAAATATAGATGACGAGTTTGCTTATATTAAAGAAATGAGTAATTTAGAAATGATAAGAGAAAAAAACAAAATGATGCTTGAAGATATGAAAAGATTGGAGAAAATTAGAGATGAGATGATACCATATGAAGAAATAGTGATGAATCCTAAAAAGTATGCATCATTAGGGTGGATGCAAACACCAAATGGATATTTGCAAATGGAAAAAGATAGAAAAAGAATTAAAAAAGAAAAAAGAGGTGGAAGATTTTGGAGACCAGTGTTATTTTATTTTTATGGTCCTGGTGGTAGTGGAAAGACTGGTTTGATAATGGAATTATTTCGTAATGAATTATATGATAAACCAGAAAAAGGGAGGTCAGGGACAAATTTTTGGAATGGATATAGTAATGAAGATATTGTTTTATTAGATGAGTTTTATACAAAAATTGATTGGGGTAATATGGTTAATTTATTGAATGATAGCGAATATAAAGTACAAATGAAATATGGATTATTTGAACACATGACAGCAAAATATGTTTTTATGACGAGTACAAGACCACCTGAAGAAGCATATAATTTTGGATTAAGAATAGGTGATGATGATTCAAATAAACGTGATATGGGACAATTTAAACGACGTATTGATTTTGTAGTTGAATTTCAAGGAAAATGGGATGATGATATAGAAAAAAGAACAACCAAGATAATAGTTCATCAAGGTAATGAAGAAAAATTTCGTAATATGGAATGGGATGTTAAGTATAGAAATGGTGAATATGATATAGAAGAAATTGTTGAAAAAGGTGAAAGATTTAATGAAAATGTTGAAGGTGAACATTTTGATGAAGAAGAGATTGTGTATTGGCGAAGAAATTTTCCAGAATTTAAAAAAGCTTATCTTAGAGATTATCCAAATTGTCAAAAACTTTTTAAATATAAAGAAAAAGAAAAGAATTTAAAAAGAAATTGTAATGATAATGGTGAAGGAAATAGTAATAAACACTTTAAACAATAATTTTATAATATATTTTTAATAGTATTTAATTAATTGATAATAAAAATATATTATTATTAATATAAATTATTAATTTAATATATTATAAATATTTTGATTTGGTATTTAAAAAAAAAAATAAAATAAATAATGAATAAACCAAATTTTATTTTTGCATATGGAGAAACTGGAACTGGAAAAACGCATTATTGTCGTAATTTTTTTAATGAAGAATATATTCAATATGATGATAATTCTAAAAGTTTACAAGTAAAATGGCTTAAAGAATTTAATGTTAGAGTTATTGATTTAATGATTACACCACGATGGGGATTGGGGTGTTCGCGAATGAGAGAACCATTTTTCAAAAACAAATTTAATCCAAAGTATATTAAATTTGTATTTTTAGAATCTGTTCATGAAATGGAAAGATATAAAGAATATAATATAATGAAAGAAAATATTGATTATGTTATTCGATTTAATGGTAAATATAATCATGAATTAAATAAACCATTGTATGAAGATGGTGAAGAAAAATATGTATTTGAAAAAGGTAGTGAAGAAGAATTAAAAAGAAAATGTCAAGAATATAGGTGTTAGTAATTAGAAATATTTATATAATATTATTTTAATATATAATTTTTATTAATAATATAATCGAAATTTATTATTTAAATTTAGTAATTGATTAACATATTCTCGAATATTCGATTATTTTTTTTTTATTTATAATTTGTGATCAAGATGATCTTTTTTTTTTATCGTTGATTTTTTTTGATTTACAAGGTTAGAATTTTTTTTTAATAAAAAAAAAACAATAATTTTTTTTAAATGATTATAAATATACTAGTTTGTTAAGAATTGTTAGTACTTTTTCTTTCTGGTAACTAGGGCCAGATATACTAAGTACACAGAAAATTAATTTTAGTAACCAGTTGCTAGATTAATTTTTTGCCATAATATGTGCACTTCGGAATATGAATTCTTAACTATGATATAATTAATTATATTTATTTATTAATATTATTTAATATATAAGTTAATTGTTATTTGTAAATTACAGATGGAAAATAATGATCTTGTATCTAATATTGATAAAGCGATATCATCTTTATTTGAAATAAGAATACAAGCGATAAACAGCAAGACATGTGAAGAATGTACTACTCTACGAGAAAATTGCCGAAAAGAAATCAAACCTTATAATAAAGGTTTATCTTTGGTAAAAAATATTGCAAGAATACAAAAAGATCTTGATGAAACGAATAAAAAGTATAATGAATTAAATACGAAATATATTCAATTGAAAGAAAAATATGGTGAATTATAAGATATAAGATTTATTAAATATGTATTATTTTTTTATTATATTTTATTATGAAATAAAATTAAGATTATTTAGGATTTATTATTAATTAAAAGAGTAAATTATTAATATTTAATTATTATAAATAAAGTAAATAGTATTATATAAAATAATAAAATGGTTACTGTATATGATGAAACACAAAATGCTAGGTTCAGATATGATTCTGAAAATCAATCTATGGTTTTGGGTGATACATTTGAAAACAAAGTTGCTTGGTACTTAAAAAAAAAGAAATTAAAACCAAAAGTAATTAAAAATTATTTAATAAATAATGGTCGATTATTATTTAATAATGAAAAATCTTTACGATTGGGATCTGTTATAATGTTGGATAATGGATGTATAAAAGATTTAGAAGTTTATAATAGTGGTAAATACACATTATTTGGAGATGATGGAACTGATATAATATGTAATTGGAATGGATATCCGTTATTAATACAATGTAAATATCGTAGTAAATGTGATATATGTGTTGAAAAAGATAAAATATGTTATCATAGTTATTGGAAATCTGGAATGATTGAAGATATAAAAAAATTAGATAAGAAATTATCTGAATATAAGATACCTATTTTTGGAATATTTGTTGTCAGTGAAGGAATAGGAATATATAGTAATGTTAGTAAAATTCAATATGATAATTGTATGATGGTTGTGAATTTTTCTGATGATTTGTATACACAAATTGAGGTGTTGGGTAGAGATTTTTTATCCAAAACACAAAAAATGGATTGGTGTATCGAACTTGAAAACAATAAAAGAATTGAGTTGGAATTAGTATATAGATATTTTGAGGGAATTATTGATGAAAAAATAGAAAAAACAACTGAAGTATTTTTTAGAAATATGAAAAAAGTACTTTATTATATTAGAAAAGCATATGGCATTAGTGATTTAAACGATATTTGTAATACATTAGATAATTTAAAAATAGTTTAATTATTAGTTTTTATTAAGATAATAATAAATGATAAATATATTTTATTTAATAATGTTTATATAATATATTAATAAAATAAATAAATTAATTAAATGAAAATAAATAAATTAAATTTCTTCTATATGCATATCAATTTCATTAGGATCACCAACAATATTTTCTTTTTTAATATATGGATTATCTTTACTAAAACTATTTTCAGTTTTAATATTAATATTATTTTTTTGAATTTTTAGTATCAATATTATCCTTTACATCAATTTCCAAATCTTCACAAATATGATTAAAAATAGTTTTAAAAGTTTTGCTATATTCAGTTTTGTTTCCAATATTAGTAGTTTCAATAATATTTTTAATTGAATTAATTTTGTTTTCCAAATTAGACATTAAACCAAGTTTTATATATTCTTCTTTTTCCTTTTCTAAATTTAAATTTCCTAGAGAATTAACAATACTATTTATTTCTTTTTCATCACTAGTTAATTTTTTCTGATTTTCTTTTTTCTTTTATAATATTTAATTGATATTTATCAAGAGTAATTATTTTATCTAATTTAATAAATTGTTTAATATTGATATTTTTTTCATGAGAGATTATAAAACATATACTTTTTGAAATTAAGAATGATGGTTTTATATCTTCATTCATAGATAAATCAGTAAAAAGATCAATTAAATTTTCAGCAATAATTTCAATTGAACCCTTGTTGTATAAAATTGGATCAGAAATATTATTACTAAAATCTTTTAAATAATTTGTTTTTTGTTGATTTTCATTATTGATATTAGAAATAGATTTTAATTTTATAATTAAAATATTATTATTTTGATTAATTTCATTTTCATATTTAAAGGTAAAATGAAATTCATTTCCTTTTTTTAAATAATATTTTCTTGTATCTTTAAGATTTTGATTTTGATCTTTGAATTTTCCAATTAACAATAAAAGATTTTTATTAATAGTAGACATTTTGTATCGAATTTAAGATAATGTAAAACTATTTTAGTTTATATTAGTAATAAATTCTACTTTAAATATAAAAAATTAATTATTAATTGAATTATTTATTAGTAATAAACTTAAAATTTTCAGATTGTAAATATAATGTTTTTGTTATTTCTATAGCCAATGGTATAATCATATTTATTTTATTTTTGTTAATATTTTTAATAGTTAAATTAAGTATTGTATTATAGTTAATATTATTAATAAATAATAAATAGTTTATAGTTGGAATTTTATATTTTATTTTATTAAAATGTTTAATTATTATATCTTCATTGAAAATTAAATTAATAATTATTTTAAAAACATTTGTATCATTTAAATTTAATATTAAATTATTCCATAATGGTTTAATTAATAATCTAAACCAAAATTTATTGAGTAATATATAATTAAGTTTTTTGTTATCATATTTAATAATATTAAGAATTATTTCAGGAGGTAAATACATTTTTAATAATATTAGTTTTTAGGTAAAGTTAAATATTTATAGATATTGTTATTATTAATTTAATGTTTTTATAAATATCATAATAATAATTTTGGTTGAAATAATAAATAAAAATGATTTATTTTATGATTTTAGTTTTAGTATTAATTATTTTATTCAATAATAAGAATAAAAATAATTTTATTGTTGGTGATAAAAAAACACAAAAAAATATGTTATATGTTATTGTTATTCCATATAAGAAAAATGGAGAAATATTGATATCTAAGCGATTAGTTAAATTTTATAAAGATTTATATTGCTCACCTGGTGGTAAAGTTAAAGAGGGTGAAAAAGTTGAAGATGGAGCAAGAAGAGAATTATATGAAGAAACTGGAATTATTATTAGAAATAAATTTGAAATGATATTAGTTAATAGATATGAAAATAAACATATATATGTTTATAAAACATTAGTTGATAATTCAGTTGTTATTGAAAATAGAGAACCGGAAAAACATGAAGGTTGGTTTTGGACTAATCGATTTTATGATTATCCATTAATTCCAACAATGGATATTTTTAAAAAGGAAATATTAAAACATATTACACCAAAGTATATTGTATTTTCTGGACCAACAGGTGTTGGAAAAACAAGTTTGATGATTAAATTGAAACAAGAATTGGAAAAAGATGGATTTTCTGTTGATATTTGTACTGAATCTATATTGAAAGATTCGAATTATTTATTGGAATATAAAAAAAATGATATTCAGAAATTTGAATATGCATTATTGAATCAATATCATAGACGAAGAATTGAAATGTTGAATTCTTCAAAAAATTTTGTTATTGTTGATCGAGAAGTTTTTGATGGTGATATATATAAAGAAGTGTATGGATTTGAAAAAGAAATAATTAAAAAAGAGCATGTTGAAATTAAAGATTTAATGTTAGTGTTTCTTATATTATGTAATGATAGAAACTTGGAAAGAAATTATTACGGAAGGGAAGAAAAAGATAGGAAATATCCATTAAAAGAATGTAAAAAAATTCTTAATGTATATCGTGAAAAATTTAAAAAAGATGTTTGTGGTGATGCAATTGTTATTAATAATGATAGTGATTTAGAAGATGGTGTTAATAATATTAAAGAATATTTTAATCCATATTTAATTAAATTATAAATTAATATTATAATTAATAATTAATTATTTTATATATAAATTTATTTTTTTTTTGTATTATTTTTTTTTCAACATCTTGAAAAAAAAAATGAATTTTTTAAATTTATTTGATAATTTATTTTTTAATAAAAAAGAAACAAATGATAAAAAAAATACTAAAATTATTGTATTTACTGGACCTATTGGAGTCGGAAAAACCAAATTAGCAAATTTTTTAAATGAATATTTGATTGGTGGAGGAAAAAAAGTTTTTTTTGATATTGAGATTACGATGAAAATAGAGAAAGAATTAAAAATGTATTATCAGTTTTTGGAAAAAGGTGTAAAAGATCAAGGAATATCTTTTTGGTTTCAAGATAAACTTATTGATGAATATAAAAAATTTTATAATAATATTGATTATGAAAAATATGATTATGTGATTTTTGATCGAACACATTTGGATACTAATTTTTTTACAATCGCAACTATCAATAAGGATCCGTATATAGAAATATGTTTGCCTTATTTAAAAGAAAAATTAGATGAAATTAGTTTTAGAGTTAAACCAGATGTTATCAATGTTAGTGTTGATAAAGAAATTTCTATTGAAAGAATTTTAAAAAGAGATCGTGATATTGAACAAAAAGTTGATATTGATTATTACGAATTAATTTATGATATGTATGATAATATTGATGAGATTTATGAATTTTATTATTTGTTTAATAATAGTGATGAATTAGATGATAATTTATTAAAGAAAAAAATTATTGGTTTTTTTAATCATTATATTAATTAATTATTAATTATTTTGTATTTTATTATTTTATATTAATTTAGTTTTTTTATATTATTAATATATTTTTAATAAAAGAGATTAATATCGTATTTTATTTTTTTTTTAACAAATTAAAAAAAAATGGCTGAACAAGAAAAACAAGAAAATGGTTATGATAAAAATGAATATTTAAAAGTGTTTAAAAAAGTGAATAATTATAAAAAAACTGCTTTTTTAAAATTTGATAATGATCAACAAGAGGAATTTATAAAACTATTCACGATTTATAATAGAAATATTATTGAAGAATATCAAAATGATACTCCATTAGAAGGATGTGATGAATATAATTTAAATAGGAGTTATTATGATAAATTAAAGAAAAAAAGTTATGATGGGGAAAATGATATTAAAAATTTAATAAAAATACGAGAAGAATATGAAAAGAAAGCTAGAATTGATAGGTTGGAAAAGGATAATATTGAATTAAAGGAACAATTAAAATTTCTTTTAGAAACTATTCAAGTTCAGAATGCAGAAAAAAAACGTAAAGAAGTTGATAATGATGATAATGATGGTGAAAATAATAAGAAATTAAAAATTTAGTAATTAATTAATTAATAATATTATAAATTAAATTTATATGAATATTAGATATTTATTATTATAATTATTAATATTAAAGATAAATTTTATTATAAAATCTCTTGTCGAAATGTTATATTTTTATTATAAAATAAAAATGGATATTCAGAATACAAATAATAATTTAAATAATGATATCGAGAAATATTTTATATTTGATTCCAAGTTTAATAGTGTGAGTTTTATTTCACTGAATAAAATTTTTAGCATTTATTATACATATTAACGCTGTTATGAATATTTATCACTTGAAAAGTGTTCATAATGAAATGTATGATATTTGATATAGTATATCACTTGATGATATATCAAAGTTATGTTATGATAAAATTATTATTTATTGTATTTTTTTTTATAGTTATCTCCAAAAATACGTGGTCACAGATTCGAACATATGACACGAAATTATTTGAAAAACTTAGGTAGTGATGTATTTATTTCTGAGGTACCTGATGGAGGTATTGATATACGTGGAAAGTATGAAAATGTATGTTATGTAATGCAATTAAAACATACAGTGAATCCTGAAAAATACCCAGTAACACCAGAGCAGATACGTTCTTTTTATGGAGCATATAGTAAATATTATAATGGAACACAATATATTGGTATTTTTTTGACTAATGGACGATATACAAATGATGCTATTCTTGCAGGTTAGTAAAATATATTGGATATAATATAAAAGTATAATATTAACCATTTATTTTTTTTTAATTAATAATAAATATGAATTAATGGTGAGTGTTAAGATAATTATTATGAATAAATAAATTTTATATTAATATTTTTTTTTTATATTTTATAGAAGGTAAAAATTGTAATGATAAAATTTATTTATGTACACATGAGAATTTATATAGTGTGTTAAAACAAATTAATAATTTATATATCAATAATGATAATAGTAATAATAATAATATAATGATTGAAAATACGGATATTAATAATTTTTCTTTTGAATATTCCAATATTACTATTAGATATGAACATGTTAAAAAACAAGTTATTTCTATTAATAATAGACATAATCCATATAAAAGAAAGGATGATAATTAATAATATTTTTACTTATAAATACTTGCATTTTTTTTATTCAATAAATTAATATTTTTTAATTAAAATAAATAAAAAAATGGATCCTGTTGAGTTTATTGAAGAAATTATTAAAACACCAGAATCTGATAATGATAATACTAAATCATACATTATTTTAATACGAGTAAAATATTCATATAAACCCGAAGCTTTAATTTATAAATTTGATAATCACTATATGAGTTTTGATAAAAATTTTCAAAAAATTAATGCGATTATTAATGATAAATTAAAAGAATATTTTGAACCAAAAAAAGAAAATATCAAAAATCTTTATAATAAAAACAAGATGAATTTAATTGGATATTTTTTAGATGATATTGAATTTTATACATTGGAAAAGAAAACAGAGTTAAAAAATATAGAATTAAAAGAAATATCATTGGATGAATTTATAACAGAATTTGGATTGAGAGAAAGCACTCGAACAAAAATTAGTAATTTAATAGTAGAAAAAAATAAAAAACATTATGAAACTGTTGTTTTAAATGAAACTAAAGGTTATAAACACGAATTAGTAGCTTTAGAGAATATTATTACTAAAGCTCTTAAAAGAATTAATAGTGAAAATCCTAATATGGTTATTCGAGTAAAACAAGAGATTAAAATAGAAGAACGGCAAGATCCTTTTGTTTTTGGATTTGTAGGAGCACAAAATGTTGGAAAAACTAATGTTCTTATTAAATTCAAAATGTATTTATTAAATAATGGAATTAAGGAAGAAGAAATTTATGTGACTAAAAGTTTTAGTGAAATTATTAGTAGTATGAATACAAAAGTTAGTAAAACTCATAATAATATTCAAAAAGAATTGATCAAATATTATGGAAAGACATATCAAGAAATTGAAAATATTCAAGAAGAAAAGAAAATAAAATTTATTTTATTTGATAATACACCATATGATATTTTAATATATAGTCAAGAATTGGTTGATGAGAATAATCAAAGAAAAGTATTTTTACAACTTCAAGAATTTATTAATAATATTGAATTTGATTATATTTTTAATATTAAACAAATGGAAAATGAAGAAGAAGAAGAAGAAAATTTATCATTTATTTCTGAGAAATTTTATTATAGATATAATAATATTAATGAAAGTGATTATAATAATAGTAAATTTTATACATTAAATAATTCATTAATTAATAATGAAATAATTGGTAGTTTAATTAATAAGTTTATTGTAGTGAATAATATAAAATCAGATGAAAATGAGTAATTTTTTTTTAATATTAATAATTATTTTTTTTATTTATAATGTAATGGATTTGATTTATTTTTTATTTTGTTTTATTTGTTTATTGATATTTATTATTTAATAAAATGAAAACAAGAGAATTTTTTACTGGAGATATTTATCCTAATGATAATGTGTATTCTATGCAAATTGTAGAAGATCACGAAGATTATTATACAAAGGAATATTATATGAAAATAAAGTGTGTAGCTACAAATAGTCTTGATGCTTATATTTTTCTTAGTGGATTTCCTGTGTATTGCGAGTTTAAAATTAATAATGGATTTGATGATGGAATAGATGAGAAAATAGTAAAAGAAATACTTAATTATATATCCTTAACAAATTATAAAGATTATAGATCTGTTAAAAGAGAAGATATTTTAGGAAATGAATTTTATTTTTTACGAGTATTTTTTAAGAATCATAATATTAGAAAAAAGATAATTAAAAAAGTTCGAGATTGTATTAAAAACAAGGAAGATAATTATCAAATATTTGATTTATATGAAGATGATATTTCAACTCCTTATTCAATGTTTATAGCACCTCGAATTAAGATAAAGATTAATGGTTTTGAACAAGGATTCCCATTATCAAAAACTTTTAAACTCAATAGAACTTTATCTAGAAAAATATATGAAAATAAATTTCATTATTCAAATTTAAGATTTATTGATGATATTGATACATATATATCAATGTTTTTTGATTTCGAAACTGTTGATATTGAAAATATGAAAAAGGGAATATTAGGAAGAGTATCTATTGGATGCGAAATTGATCAAGCATTTATGGGAGTATTTCTTTTTTTTAAAGGAAGGGATATAATACCATTTCATACCGTGGCCGTTTTATTGCAAAATGAAGAATTTCCGGTGGAATATGAAAGGATAGATGAAAAACTTGATTTAATTTATGTTAAAAATCAAAAGGAATTTTTTTTAACAAAAGCATTGTTGTATTATAATTTTCGACCTGAAAAAACTGGTGGGTGGAATAATTTAGGATATGATTGGAAATTTACTATAAGAAAATTATATGAACTTGGTATATTTGAAGAGTTTATACAAATAGCAACTGGAAAAACAAAAAGCATAGAAAATATAATTAAATTTGATTATAGAAATGAATATAATACTGTGAATGCAAATGAAAAAGCTTGTCATTATTTCTTAAAAATATTAGGAACTGAAGAGTATGATCAATCTACAATGTTTAGACAACATTATCAAACATTATCAAAATGGTCATTAAACACTATATTAGGTAAACTTGGATTGAAATTAAAATTAGAATTTTCTATTAAAGAAATGTATGAGATATTATATAATGTTTATAAAGGAAATTTTGATGAAAAAACAAAAAAAGAAAAATGTACACTTATTTTAGATTATTGTATCAGAGATTGTATTGCACCCAAAGAAGCAATTGAATTTATAAACAAGATTACAGAGTATAGGATAATATCAAATTTAACATACATACCAATGTATGAATATTCGTATGGAAACAAAACAAAGATGATAAACAATTTAATTGTTTATTTTGCTAATCGAGAAGGATTTGATATATCAATTAAATATGATAAAAAGAATGTAAAAGAAGAATATGAAGGTGGATTAGTTAAAGATCCTCTTAAAGAATTTTCTGTAGTATCTGATGGATGTTTAGATTTTAATTCATTATACCCTAGTGTAATGATGCAACACAATATTTGTTTTCTTACAAAACTTAAAAAGAATGAGAAAGAGGAAGGATGTCATGAGATATCATATAAAAATAGTAAAGGAATTACTAAAATTATTAGATTTTCTAAAAAAAGAAAAGGATTAATACCAACAATTTTAGAATTATTAGTAAAGCGAAGAAAAGAAGCAAAAAAAGATCGTGATAGACATGAAAAATCAAATCCGATGTATAATTATTATAATATTTTACAAGATACATTAAAGAAAATAGCAAATTCTATATATGGACAATTTGGTAATCAATATTCAATTATATGTGATTACGAAGTATCAGCATCAGTAACAGGTACAGAAAAAATTATTATTAATAATATAAATTATTAATCTGAAACACATTACTAATTCCTTTAATGTTAATAATCATAAAAATCTATATATGATTCGGACTTGGTGAGTTTTATTTTTATTATTCGTATCAAAAGTTTATTTCAAATTTGTTTTCTTGTATGAAAATCACAATACTATTCATTTACCAATATTCGATAACCAAGAATGGTGAATGATAAGTCTAAGATTTACAGGATAATAATAATGTTGAATTTTTGATACATTTGAGTCAGGGAAACTTGACGCTGGGGCCTACACCACTTGAAATGGTTTACTAACTTTTTCATTTTATAAACCATGATGTAATTTTTATTAAATAATTGGTTTTTCTGTAGGAGCATATGCTAGAAAATATATTAAAATGGCATCGGAGTACATGCAAACCAAGGAGATATCTGAGACAAATAAAGAAAAAAAATTTATTTGGAAATATACAGATACAGATTCGATTTTTTTTCGATTATCACCTATATTAATTAATGAAATTATAAAAAGATATGAAAATCATTTATTGGATAAAAATATAAATGAAAAAGATTTTATTGATGTAATATATAATATCCAAAAAGAAATGGTATTTGTAACATATAATGAAAGTATGAAGTTGCAAGATGAGATAAATGAATGGATGGCGAATGAAAACCAAGCTCCAAGAATTATTATGGAAATGGAAAAGATTGTTAGTCCAAATTTATATATATCAAAGAAAAAATATAATGGATTAATATTTGAAAACTCAAATTATTTTTTTGATGATGAATGGAAAGATCTAGAAAAACATATTAAAGAAGAATATAAAATTGATAATGTGACTAAAGAAATTGTTAATGATTTTGTGAAAAAGAATGATGAATATAAATTATTAGCGAATGGTAAAAAATTTAGTAATTTGTTAGCAAAAGGCACTGATTTAGTTAGAAGAAATTCAACATTAATATGTCGAGTAATATTAAAGAAATTACTTTATACATTATTTGATTATAGAGAATATGGTCGATATTTGTATAATATGAAATTTACTAAAATAGAAGAATATCAAGATTTTATTAATGGGGTGAATAAGAATGATTTTGCTAAAGAAACAAGTAAGAGAGTGGTTGAAGATTTCATAAAATATCTTTATTCTAAAGAAACAGAATTGAATTTGGAACTATTTGAACAAAATGCAAGAAATAATGAGGAGGAAGAGGATATGATGACATTTACAGGTACAGAAAAAATTATTATTAATAATATAAATTATTAATCTAAAACACATTACTAATTCCTTTAATGTTAATAATCATAAAAATCTATATATGATTCGGACTTGGTGAGTTTTTATTTAATTAATAATATGATAAAGGTATATAAAGAGAGACAAAAGATCCACTGTCAATCACAAAATATACAATGACAAGTAAATATAAACCAGCCGAAAAAATCAAAAAAACATATGGAGTCTCAACAAGTACACTCAGAAGATGGGGTGATAAAGGAGATGTGTCATGTATCACAATGCCAGGAGGAAAACGAATGTACTCAACAGAAGACATTGATAACATGTTTGGAAGAGAATCCAAAGAAAAGAAAAAGATCTGTTATGCCAGAGTCTCAAGTGAAAAACAAAAAGAGGATCTTGAGCGACAATGTAACCACCTTAGATCTGAATACCCAGAACATGAGATCATTACTGATATCGGGTCAGGTCTCAATTGGAAACGAAAAGGATTCACGTCCCTTTTGGAACGAATATACCAAGGAGATATCGAGGAAGTTGTGGTTACCAGAAAAGATCGATTATGCAGATTCGCATACGAACTTGTGGAATGGATCTTTAAAAAACATGAAGTCAAACTCATGGTTCTCGGTACAGATGTTGGATCAAATGAACCAGAGACAGGAGAACTTGCAGAAGATTTATTATCAATCGTTACAGTATTTACAGCAAGACATAATGGGCTCAGATCAGCGGCAAATAAGAGAAAAAGAAAAGAAATTGAAAACTCTAAAGATACGGATGTATCCAACAATCCAAGAAAAGAAAAAGCTCAAGAAATGGATGGGGACAGCAAGATGGACATACAATCAAGCATTGAATCTCATAAAAAAAAGGAGAATTGATAAACAAAAAGATCTTGAGACAAAAATGTATCAAGATTGAGAATTTTCAAAATGAAAATAAATGGGTTTTGGAGACGCCATATGGTATAAGAGATGAGGCATTGATAGATTTACTTGATGCACATAAATCAAATTTCAAATTAAAAAGACAAAAATTTAACATTCGATATAAGAAAAAAAAAGACAAACAACATTCTATAACAATTCAAGCTCGTGATTGGAAAAGAAAAAGAGGGGAATATGCATTTCTTAAAAATATTCGTATGTCTGAAGAACTCCCAAATATAGAACATGCATTCAATATAATTCTTGATAAACTTGGAAAGTTTTATATTTGCATACCTATTTCAATCGAAGAATATTATCGTGAAGATAATGAAATCATATCATTGGATCCTGGCATTAGAACTTTTATGACTGGATATGATCCAAGTAGGAAAATCATTGAATGGGGAAAGAATGATATTGGACGTATATTCAGATTATCAAAAAGATATGATAAATATCAAAGTAAAAAATCTATAATTAATAATAAGAGAAAACGATATACATTGAAGAAAAAGATGTTGAGAATACATAAAAAGATCAGAAATTTAGTAGATGATTGTCATATGAAACTTGCAAAGTTTTTATGTGATAATTACAACACTATTCTTTTACCAAAATTCGAAACCCAAGAAATGGTAAAGAGAATAAAACGTAAGATTCGTAATAAAACTGCAAGAATGATGATAACATGGTCACATTATAGATTTAGACGATTTTTGGAACATAAGATTTCTGAATATCCTGGAAGATTATTAATTTTATGTAATGAGCATTATACATCAAAAACATGTGGAAATTGTGGATATATTAAAAGAAATTTTGGTGGTTCAAAGATTTACAAATGTGATGAATGTGGTTTTGTGATTGATAGAGATTATAATGGTGCTCGAAATATACTTTTGAAACATTTGAGTCAAGGAAACTTGACGCTGGGGCCTACACCACTTGAATGAGTTTACTAACCAACATTCATTTTATAAACCATGAATGATAATTTTTATTATTGATGATTGGTTTTTCTGTAGGAGAATTAGTAAATCACAAAAGTTATAAAGAAGGATTTTGGGAAATCCGAAATAAAAAGATTATTCTTTTTGAGATTGAAAAAGATAGGGACGGGAAAAAGAGAAAAGGAAAAGAAATTGATTTTACTAAAAAAAGAGAAAATCAAACAGATTGGGAAAGATCAGGTAAATTTAATAAAAAATTGATAATTATTTAATTTAATATTTATTTATTTATTTATTTATTTAGATACCGATTATGTATATTTTGATTCAGAGAAAAAAGATAAAGAATATACTGAAACTATATTGAAACAAGAAAATGATGAGACAACTTCTATGGTTAAAAAATTTGTTAGAGATATGAAAATGATTAATGTAGAAGTTCCTAAACCTAGATTTAATTATTATGTGATTTATAAACATGGTGTTAAAGAAGTATATAAAAGAATGGTGTTAGTTGATAGATTTGATCCAAAAAAACAAAGAATAGATAAATATCATTATTTAAAAGGTATTAAATCATTTTTATCTGTGTGTATAGAAGAAACAGAAAAGGAAACTGATGAATGGATTAAAAGTATTATAGACAAAAATACAAATAAATCAATTGATGAATATAGTTTAAAAGAAGATGAACAGAAAGGGGGTAAAAAAAGAAAGAAAAAGGAATATGATATATTAATTCCTAAAAAACAAATGAAAATATCAAGTTTTTTTAAAAAACAAAATAATGATAATGATGATAATGATTTTTTTATTTAATAATGTAATAAATTATTCATTTATATTAATATTAAAAATAGAACTATTTAATAAATTATTATCATTTGATATAATCGAATTAAAATAATCATCTATAGAATCACAACTTTTGTTGTTGTTTATGTAAGAAATAATATCAGAATTAATAGTATTAATATGATTGTAAACAATATTGTGAATACTATCAACAATTTTTTTCATAATAAATTCAGAAATATTATTTTTAAGAGTATGAAAATTAACGAGGCCAATTTGTTCAATTTTTAATTTTTCGATTTCTTCTTGTAATTCGGTAATAGTTTTGTTTGATGTTTTGTCTAATGATTCGGTTATTTTATTTTCCGGATCTTTGTTGTTTTCATTTAGATTCGTAATTTGTTTAGTTAAATTAATATTAGATTCCATTAATTCATTATTTTTCTTAGTGAGATTAGTAATAATCAATTCTAGATCAGTTATTTTTTTTTCTTTTTCATTAACTAATTTATCGAGTGATTTTTTAATTTCTCCTATATCACCTTTATTTTTACATGTTTTGTTATTATATTTACCTTTAATAATATTAATAGTTAGTTTTGGATAAAAAAAAATAAATATAATCTATTTTACATACTGTTGTAATGTTAGTATTAAATATTAATAAATTATGTTGTAAATTAGTAATTTTATTTTACCGTTTTTTTGTATCACGTTGTTCAGGATCTTCGGTAATATTATTTTCTTCCATAATGATTTAATAATATCCGAAAATTAAGTTTAAATAATAATATTGTATTAATAATCAATTAATAATTAAATAAATATATAAAATTAAGAATTTAATTTTGATGATACAAAAATAAAAAAAATGTCTGAAATTGAAGAAAAACATTATTTATGCTCCGAGACTGGAGAGATACTTGAAAAATATTTAAAATTTAATATCACTTGTTTAGTATATTCTAATCAAGACAATCTTAACGATGATGCTTTCACTATTAAGGAATTCAATAGAAAGCTTGAAGATAAAAGAAATGAATATGAAAAGGTTAATGTGTTTATGGTTGTAGAACAACCAAGAAAACAAGGTATTGTTTCTGGAACATATGTAGTAGCTGGTAGAAACAATGGAACGAAAATTGTACAATTAGAATATACTGAAGTTGATAGTTTTAAAGCGATGTTTAATTTAATTTATCATATTTCTAAGATGGATGAATTTAAGAATAAATGTATTAATATTATTACTAGAAATATAAAATTTAGATATATGATTAAATATATGATTTATCGTTGGATTGTTGGAAATTTTAAAAAATATAATGATATAATTGGAAAAATTGAGAATGATATAGAAGAAGATAAAAAGGAAGATGTTGAGTATGCATCTATTATTAAGAAAATAGATGAAATTATGAAATATAATAATGTTATGTTTGATGCTCAATTAAATATTAGTAATATTAGTAATGTTGATGCCTTTCTTAGAAGGCTTAAACCAGTTATTAGAAAAAACAAATAATTTAATTTAATTTATTTATAACATTTTATTTATTTTTATTATTTTATTTATAATATTTTTTATTAATAAATTATTATTTATATTTTAAAATTTCTAAAAATAATTGAAAAAAGTAATGATTTTTTAAAAATAATTTAAAATAAATTACATAATAAACATGTGATAATTTTAATAATAATGTTAAAATCTAATTCTTCTTGAATCTCTTTCATCATCATCATCATCATCTGATAGTTCATGTGTACCTAATGTATTTTCAGTTGTGTATGTTATACTACCACTACTTTCAACATTATATTGTGCATTACCCAAAAAAGTTCCACTTTTACCATGTATTTGTAATCCACCCATAATATTTGTCATTTGTCTAGGTCTTTCTATTTCTGGCAAACGGAAATTTATTGTTCTTCTTTGATTAATAGTAAATCTTCTTGGTTGTTGTACTCGCATTATTCTTTGTATTATTTCTCTTTGATTTGTATTAATTTGATTGTTAACTAAATTTCTCATATCATTTCTAAAAATGTTAAATATTTCTTCAAAATTATTAGTGTTTCTCGTTATTAATTGATTTTGTATATTTTCAATAATAATTCTTTGTTCATTTAAATATGCATTAAATTGATTTCTTATTGGATCGAGTCCAAGATTTGTATTAATGATATTTTGATTGATATTATTTAATATTTCATTAAAACGAATATTTATATTTTGATTGTTATTATCCAATATTTCGTTAAAACGATTGATAGATTTGCCTATGTTTTGATTATTATCATTAATTGTTTTATGTAAATTATCAAGATTTATATTAATTCTTTGATTATTAGTATTGAGATCTGTAATTCTTTGATTTATATTATTTAAATTTGTATCAATATTTTTATTAAAAATATTAATTTTACCAAATTCATTATTTAAGTTTTTACCAATGTTATAAATTCTTTGATTTATATTATTAGTATTAGTATTTAGTTGATTAAAAGATTGATCATAATTATCTAATCTTTTATTGGTTGTAATCAATCTTTGATTCAATTGATTAAAGCGATTAAAAAAATTTTCATTTGTTTTAGCATGTTGATTTTGAATGTTTCTATTCATTCGATTTAATATATTTTCTAATTGAATTTCAGATTGTCTAAATAAATCATGTAATCTTTGATCACGAGCTTGAAATTGATTTTGAAAGTTTAAAAGTTGATTTTGTATTGGTTGCAATCCCATTCCATTTCCATTTCCATTACCAGGTCTTGGAGGCATTTTTGGAGGTTGTAATGGAGGTTGGGGTTGTTGAGGTCTAGGTGGTAATGGAGGAGCAGGTGGAACAGGAGGAGGAACAGGGGGAGGTGGTTGATTTGGGCCTATTCCAAGATTTGGAGGTACTGGTCTTCCATTTTCAATATACCATAATCTTAATTCTCTAATAGATCTTATTAAACGAGGATCTAAACAAGGTTGAATTCTACCATTTTGAAAAGGACATTGAGGATCATTTCGATCATGATTTGGATTACCACAACAACCACAAGCAGCAATATAATTTGGTATTTTGGGTCTTCTAGGATTTTTTGGTATTTTTGGTATTTTGGGAATATATTGATAATTATTTGGAAAAAAAAATGAAGGGTTTGGTATATTTACATATTGTGGAACATATTGAAAAGGATTTGGCATGTTAAAATATGGATATCCATAATAAAAAAATTGACATTTTACAAAAGATGGTAATAATAAAAGATATAATAATATTTTTTTTATTGAATACATTAATATGTTAAAAGATTATGTCGTTGGGGTATAATATTTGGTGGCAACATAAATTGAGGAATGAGTTTTCTTTCCATATTGTATGCTTTTTTAAATTTATCTATACCTCCTTTAATCACAGCTAAATGCGCAGCATTGATACAATTACCAGCACCCATTCCTCTACCACCAGCATTTCGTGTAGGACAATTTCTTGTAGTATGACCAATTTCACCACAACAAATACAAACATTCATATTAAATGTAGGATTTTCAAAGTATTTTTTTACAGATTTTCTTATTCTTCCATTATTTCTTATGGCATGGTTACCATAAACTCTTTGACAAGTTCTACTTGTATGACCCATAGCACCACATCTGCTACAAGTTTTTCCTTGATGAGGACGTGTTCTAATAATTATATTTGTTATCCAAGGAACTTTCCAAGATGTTATAGATGATGAACCTTTATATGGTCCGATTTCCTGTGGATAAGAATATTGTGGTGTAAAAATTCTAGGAAATTGTTGAGGTTGTCTATAACGAACCATAGCAGTTTGTCTATAAGGAACCATAGCACCCATCATGTTAGGGCATGATCTTCTATTATGACCAGGTAATCCACATATTGAACACACGGCATTCACAAAAGATATTAATAGATTTATGATAAATAAAATTAATAAAAAAATTTGAGTTTTTTTCCGGGACATCTTTTATTAGATGCAATATGAGAAGTACTTCCACAAATTCCACAATGACGAATTTTTTGATTTGTTTGGTAAGGATTTTTATTACATGAAATAATATTATTTTTATTCGAAACACAATTACAAGCAGAAAATGAGTTGTGTATTAATAATGATAATAATAATAAAAGAAATAAGAATTTCATTTTAAAGAAAAAAAATAAAAAAAAAAAAAATAAAGATATTTATATAGTTAAACTATTTTATTTTTAATTATATCAGCTATTTTTTTAATCTCATTTGAAAAGAATAAATCCATTTTTAATTTTTCTTTCTTGATATTTTTTCTTTTTAAACGAGTTTTGTTTTCTTCTTGTAAATAAACATCAGAAATTAGTTTCATGGAGTCATACATATCTTCTTCATTAATTATTTTTTTAGTATTTTTAATAAAAAAATTTGTACGTGTAAATTCTAAATAATTTTGTAAATTGTTTTTAATATCATCATCATCTATATTTGTTTTGATTTTTTTCTTCCATATATCAAATTGTTGTTTATTGTTTAATTTTCTTTTAACCATTTGAAGAAGATGATAATAAAATTTGTTTTCGTAAATTTTGTAAATTAGAGATTTTATATTCGTTATTTATTAAAAAATCATCATTTAATAATTTAATTTCTATATCAAAAAAATTATTATTTTCAAATTTTTTTATATTATTTTTTTCAGTATTCATTCTTTCCAGAATATCTTTATAAAAATTTTCATTGTAATTTATAAATTTTTGTGTTGCTTTGTTTTTAGCAGTATTTACTCTTCTACTAGTGGCAAAATTCAATCCATAATTTAGTGATATTTCATTATTGAGTTTGTAGTTAAGATAATTTTTATAATTATCATATAATGAAATAATATATTTATTATCTAAAATTAATTTTTTCCAATTTTGATTTTCTTCCAAGTTTTTAATGTTTCTTGAATCAAGATTATTAATTTTCAAAACATAATCAATGATAGCATCTTCTAATTCTTCAGATAAAAATTTTTTAAAGATTGTATTAATGTCTCTATTTGTTAAATATCTTTGATCCAATTTATGAAGCATTAGATGAACTATATTTGTTTTATGAGTAGAAAAAAATGTTTTTTTATCTATTTGTATTAATAATTCATCATACAAGTTATCCATAGAGTTATTTATTTTATCTGATATTATATTATTGATTAATTTGTTTTTTTGAGATTGATTTATGTTTATATCATTATTAATATTATATATAATTGTATTTTTGTTATTTCTTATTAAATTTTCTATTTTAATTTCATTTTCAATTGTTTTTTTATATTTTAAAAATATTAAAGTTTTTTGTATTTCGCCAATTCTAATATTTTCTAATATTTTTTTATCACTATCTATTATAAGTTGATTTATAATATTTTTATAATGATTATCTAATTTATCTAGTAATTCATTATTCCAATTATTAATGTTTTTTAATTCATTATAAATTTCCAAAAATTTTTTTTTATTTATTAGTAGATGATTTAATTCTAGTTTTAAATCATTGGGGAGATATGATATTTTTTTTGTATCAAATTTATTATAATCATAATTATCTGATATAATTATAATATCATTTTTAATTTTTTCATATTTCAAAACATTATTTAATCTAATGTTTTTAAGATTGTATAATGATGCTTTAGTTTTCTCACTAAAACATTTTTCGTTATTGATAATATTAAATATTAATCCGCTATCTTTTAGATTAAGTGATTTTTTTTCTGAATTAATTAATATTTTAATATCATTAATAATATTTTTTAATTTAATTATTTTTTTATTTTTATTTTCATTTAGTGTTTGATATAATTTTTCAGGAAAAGTATTATCATTTATTTGGATAAAATTTTTATTTTCTAATGTTTCTATAATACATTCATTTTCAATAGATGAAAGTATATTATTATAAATTTTTAAATAGTTCAAATGATTTTTTCGTATTTCTTGAATAGTTGTATATTTTGAGTTTAATTTATTTTTATTATTTTTTATTAAATTGTCATAATATCCATTATCATTAAGATTTGATATATTTAATTCATTTGATATTTGTTTTTTCAATAAATGAAATAAATCATTATTTGTGTTATTATTATTATTATTATTTATATTATTAAGAAAAAGATCCAATACAGAATTGAATAAATTATTATTATAATATTTTTTTTCTGTATCAAAATAGTAATTTATTTTTAAATTATGATTATAAATTAAACAATTAAAAGGTATTGTGTTAAAACTAGAATATCCTAAACAAATATGCAAATTCATTTTTTTTTATATTTAGGATATATTATTGAAAATATTTGTAGTTAATAAAATGTTAAGAAAAGATATTAATATTTTTATTAAAAAATTATCTAATAAAATATTTATATAAATGATTAATTTATAATTTATTTTTTTATCAAGATTATTATTATTTATATTTTTAAAAAAATTATTTTTTGATTCGATAATATTATTAATATTTATTTTATTAGTTAAATTTATATTTTTATTTGGTTTGATATTAAAATTAGTTAAAAATAATTCAAGCATTGTGTTTATTTTTTTAATATTATTTTTTTCATTAATAAATAATTTATAATTTTCATATTCGAGATATTTAATATGTGAAGTGTAAGGAGAACAATCAATAAAATAAGTATTTGATGAACCTCCTATACATGTATATTTTAAAAGATTTACTTTATGTAACAAGGATAATATAAATAAAATTATAATAATAATTTTCATTTTATTAATAAATATTTTCGTAATATCCAATATTGGGTATATATGTAATTATGTTCATATTTTCGAATTTGATAATACAGAATTCACAAAAATTATATTTGTGAGAATTTTCAAGAATAACATTAAATAGTTGTTTTACCATTCTTTCACAATTCTCACATTTATACATCGTTAAAAATCCATTTTTATCCAAATAATATTTATTATAAATATTATTTTTATTATAAATAGATTTTTTTGTAATAGTATATTCTGTGTTTGTAATAATTATCGAATAATCTTTTTGTGTTTCACCATCGATAGTTGTTCTAAGAATATTAATATTTAGATCATTATAAAATTTAAACCATTTTATTGCAGTGTTAAATTTTTCTTTTTCACTTGATTTATATTTTATTTTTTCAACATCTATTTTTTCTGATATTATATTTTTCATTATACCTTTTATTTCATTAATTATAATATTTTTTTTATCATCAGGAATAGTGTCAGATTTCTTAAATGGAAGATCCCATACTTTTTCAATTAAAGAATTTTTAGATTCTATATAAATTTTTAAAGTGTTATTTATATCAATAGCTTTTAATTTTGTTTTGATGATTAATAGTTGTATATTTTTTATATTATCTATATCCAATTCAGGAGGTGGTAATTCGCCATCCACATGCAAAGTCCATAAATTATTATCTTTTACATCAGGATCAGGTAAATTATCAAATGTAGGACAAATTTGATTTGCAGAACTTGGTTTTGGATTTCCTTTAACTCCAACCATCACAGCTTCAACAGGACGATTTTTTTTTGTAGGAAATGCGATTGAAGCCCAAAGAAAATTTTGATATTTGTGATCAGTAATATTTTTAGTAAATGGATAACCTAATGAATTTAATTTTTTCATTGGTTCTTCACTTGCAGGAAGCATTATTCCATTGATTATATGAAATACAATATCATCAGTAGGTACTAATTCTTCTAATTGTTGTGTAGTTAAGAAAGCTTTTCCTTTTTTAAGACGACCAACACGACCTATTTGTTGAACCATGCTAGCAACAGATAAAAATCTAATATCATTATCATCATAAATCCATCTTTCAGCACCAGATCCTTTTCCTAATTTTGATAATTGTGTTTCACCAGTTAATATTACATTATCAACATCAGGACTAATTCCCATTTCATGATTGATATTTACAAAAAATAAACCATGAGGCATTCCTTCTATTATACCAGCTACAGCAGATGAATTTGTATCATTAAACATTACATATGGAATATCACTTTCTTCTAATAATTTAAATTGAGTTGGTGTTAATCCTGATTTAATCAATGGTTCAGCATCAGTATCTTCTTCACCATTTATTTTTCTAGGATATTCATCTGCAGTTGTTCTAAGAAATATTAATGTTTTTTCATTTTCCCAATCTGTTTGATTACCAAATTTAGTTATTGAATAAACTTCTCTAGGTTTTGATGTTGAAATTGAAAAATTTTTTTTAGGAAATGTAGCACTCATAAGTAAAACTTTGTATCCCATTCTTATTAATAAAGGTTGTACTACTTGATAACTTGTATTAGGGAAATGTGCTTCATCGAATATTATAATAGTATCATCTTTATCAATTAATTTCTCTTTAATATTAATCTTTATTTTATCAAAATCATTATAAATATTTTTTGGATCTTTTAATTCATTAATTTTAACCTTTTCACATGCTATATATCTAACTAAATGATATAATTGTAATATTGATAAAGTTGATTTTCCAGTTTCAGCAAAACTTTTTTTTTCTTTAGTATTTCCATTAATCCATGAAGCTAATTCACCATTTTTTACTATATAAGGTAATTCTCCTTTTTTACCATGTATAACACATTTGTAAGGAATGCCTTTTGAATATTGTAACCAAGTATTATGATGATTTTCAGCATCAGCAGCCAATTCTTTATTTGGAGTAATTAATATAATATGTTTACCAGGAAAAATACATGTTAATAAACATCGTACTAATTTTGTTGTTTTACCACCTCCAGTTAATATAGGAAGAATACCATGTCCATCTATATCAACTAATTTACGTTTAATTTCACCACCTTTTTTAAGTTTTATTATAGTATCTTTAACTTTAGCAAATTTATCAAAATTATAACTTCCATCATTATTTTTTAATTCATCAGGATCAAATTCTATTAAATTAAAAACATATGGTAATAAATATGTGCCAGCTAATGATTTATCAAGTTCAGCTTCTTTTTTTAAAACTTCAGCACCACTTATTTCAAAATCATTAATAATATTTCCAGTAAATTTAGAATCTATTATTTCAGCAATTTTTATTTTATATTTTGGTTTATCAATTAAAGTATAACCTTTTAATTTATCTTGATCAGGTATTGAATCTTCACCTTTTAACCATTTATCGAGATTTTTTTCTTGTAAATTTTCATCACCTTTTCTTTTAAGAAAATCTTTTAAAAAAATATTTAAAAATTCTGGTGTGACTTTATTTTTCCATTTGTTAAATTTCCATTCCTGAGTTTCATTAAGAGATTTTAATATTTTTTGATATATTTCTGGATGTAACCCATCATCATCAAATTCATTATTAGGTTCATTTATTTTATATCTAAAAGTATTTCTTTTATCCGAAATTGCTTTTAAAAGATCATTTTTTCGAGCACCGCGTGGTAACCAATCATCATTTAAATTATTTATATTATCATTTTCATAGTTTTCAGGTAATGATTTAAATGTATTAGTATTTTTATCGAGAATATATTCAAGAATATTTAATGATTTATCTAGTTCAGATTTTTTTATTTTTAAAACATTTATTTTTTTAAAATTTCTATGTGTGATGCAATTATTTAATATTTTATTATTATTAATATTATCCCATCCATTATTGATAGTGATTTTACATTCTTCGATTGATAATCCAGAATAATACCAATTTTCTTGGTTTTTTTCCAAGATATTATTTTCATTGAAGAAATTTAACCAATCAGATTTATTAATCATTGTAATAATTTAATAATGATAAAGAAGATAAATAAAATAAAAATAAAACCCAAAAAATAATGATTTATATATTTTCATTTTCTAATATATTTTTTCTTTCCTTTTTAAGATTATGTAATTTTTCTTTAGTGTTTTCAGTTAAAAGATATTTTTCATCTAATTCTTCAATATTTCGATATATATCATTGTAATATTCATCAATTAATAAATATGGCTCATTACAATTATTGATATTATCAATTAAAGATTCGTATTTTAAATTTTCTTTTTTTGTAAATTCTTCTATTAATGAATTTTTTTTCAAATTATAAATGTTATTCAATGTAATTATTCTTCTATTATCAGTTAAATAATTTTCATTTAAAGAATTTATATTTTCATTAAAGAATTTATCAAGTATTTCTGGTGTTGGAAATTTATCGATATTTTTTATTATTTTATCGTATTTTTCATTGTTTTCCCTTTCTAAATTGTCTTTTCCAGATATGATTTTTAATTTTTCTTCAATGTAATTTAAAATAATTTCTTTTTTATCATTTGGTAATAATTTATTATCATATACTTCAGTATTTAAGTTATGTAATTCATCAATATTATCCAATGTGTTTAGTTGATTTTCAAATATAATAAATTGTTCAGTAATTAATTTATCTATTTTTTTATTTTTTAGAGTTTCTAATTCCACAATTTCATCCATAGACAAATTTGGATTAGAAATTTTATGATATAAATTACCATGTTTAAGTATTTCATTAACAGATAATAAATTAATATTATTAATTTCTTCTTTTAATTTATCGAATGTAATAATTTCATGATTTTCTTTGAGTTCATTAATTCTTTTTATTCGAATTTTTTCTAATAATATTTTATCCGATTCATTTAAAGAGGAATCAATAATTCCATTTTTTATTCCATGTTCTAATTTATCTATGTCAATTTCTTCCAATATTATTTTTTGTAAGAATAAAAATTGAGAATTTTGTTGTACATTAATTTCTTTTTTTTGTAATTCAGATGTTAAAAGATTTTTTTGTATATCTGATAAAAGCTTATTGTTAATTACTAAATCAAATAGTTCATTAACATTTTCTAAAGAATTTGCTTCAGATATATTATTAATAAATATATCATATTGTTCTTTTACTAATTTTTTATATTTATCATTACTCAAATTTTGCAATTTATCAATATTTTCTTCAGATAAATTTGAATTAAGAATTTTTATATTTATATTTTCCAATTTTGATATATTAATTAAATCAACATTTTCAATTTCTTTTTTTAGATTATTGAATATATTTAATTCAAATTCATCTAAGGGATCAGATGATATTGGTTTTCCATATAGTATTTCTAATCTTCTTTTTTCAAATTTATTTTTAGCATCATTCGAAATATTTGTTGTTTCAATTAAAGTTTTAATGGGTCCATCATCATCGATATAATTTTTTCGTTTTTCTATATCATTATTAAAATGATATGTAAAAAAATTTGTAGAATCTGATTTAATAAATTGATCATTTTTTATATTTTCAGATATTGATAATAATCTATCAATATATTGATTCATATCTGTATTTTTTTCCAATTTTATTAATTTATCCATATTTTTAATCCAATTATTGGCAATAATTTTTTTATCATCATTAGAAATATCCAATGTATTCCAAAAAAATGGTTCATAAATTCCACCTTTCATAAAATTTTCAAATCTATTATCAGTTAAGAAATCATCTATTAAAAATTCAATTCCACAATAGTCTTGTAGTTGAATTTTACGTTTTGCTATCTGTATATGCATTTCATTTATTTCATCGATATTAAAATTAATTAATTTATTAAAATAATTATTTTTAAGTAATGAATTATATATTCCATTATTTGTTAATGTATAACAATTTATTTCAGATTTTATCATTTTAGATATTTCAGGAATGCATATGATTTTATGTTCTTGATTGCATTTTTTAAGATTATTAACAAATATAGATCCAATTAATTTGTAAAAATTTTTATCTTTTGTTATTGCATTCATTTTGTTAACCTTTTCAAATATCCAATAAATGTTGATAATATTTAATTCAGGATAAATTGATAATAAATATCTCCACCATTCAAACCAATTTATTATTGAAGTTTTTTTTAAAGAATCCAATCGTTTTTTTTCCAAATCAACAAGTTTTTTATCATTCAATTCATTTATTATATTATCATCTCTTAAAAAATTATAAACAAATCCTTTATACATTAATAAATTTGGATTTTTATTATTTTCAATGATATCAATAATAAAATTTTCTTTATCAGGTAATTCTTTTTTTAATATATCACATATATTTTTTCGTATTGTATGTAATATATTAATGTTATTTTTAAATAATTTATTTGCATTGATTATTTTTTCATATTTTCCAAACTCACAATAATCCAAGATATTTTTTTTATCATTTTCTAATAAAGTTTTAAATTCATCATATGACATATTCATGATATGTGATTCATTTTTTATTATTTGATCATCAACATAATGACTATATTTATCAAATGCTTCAAGATATTTGGAAGAAGACATCAGATCATATTTTTTAAGATAAGTATCCCAAATAATATTAAGAATACCATCAAAAGCATTTTTTATTTCAAAAGGATCACATGTTGATATATTTCCAGATTTACAATCATTGATGATTTTATTATGTGTATCGTAATTTACACAATTATGACATGAAGAGTTAATAGTCTTCATGTAAATTATCCATGTTATTAATATAAGGAGATGGATTGTAATGATTTTCATGATTGTAAGGATTATTAATTATTTTATAAAAATATTCGATATTACTTGGATCAGAGTTTTGAATATAATTATTATATGGATTTAATTTTACACATTGAATAAGATTATTATCAGTATTTACTAAAATACAAGTATATGATTGAGAAAATACGCTTGAGATTAAAGTTAGGAATAATAAAGAAATCAACATTTTTATTGGAAAAAAAAAGAAATAATAAAGTATATTTATAAATTTTAAATAGTTAAATTATTAAAAATTTGACCTATTTTTAAATGTAATGTATTAAAAAAAGAAATATCATCATTTCTTGTAACAGATAATAATAAATCGACAATTTCCAAAAATAATCTTTTATCTATTTTTTTTATATTCATATAAAAAGAATTATTTCTATTTTTATGTATACCATGGTATATCAAAGATTTCCAAGGTTTTATATAAAAACTTTCTTTATATGATTTAAGATTATATAAAATAAGATTATAAAGATGCTTATTTAATTCAGTATTTGATTCGATAATTGTATTATATCTTTTAATTATTAAATTTATTATTCTTTTAATAGGATAACCAAAAGGAAAATATATAGGTTTTAATCTAAAAGAATTATTTTTTCTAGAATTGAATTTAACAATTACATGTATTTTTAGAATATCTGGATTTAATTTAGATTGATTTATTATTTTTAAATTTGATTTTAATAAATCTATTTCTTGTATAAATTTATTTTTATCATCAAGAAAAAAAGCATTGATTTTTTTTAAGGAATTAATATATTTTTCTATTTTTTCATTATTTTTTTCATGAATAATCAATGATTTAAAATCTTCTATTATTATTTTTCCCTTTTCTTTAATAATATTATTTAATTCTTTAATATGCCAGGTTCCTAATCTATTATCATTTTGTATTAAATCATACAATTCACTACCAGGTTGTAAATCACAAATTTTAGTTTTTTCATTTATTTTTTTTTTGTAATATGATATTATGCCTTTGCAATCAAATAAAAAATCCATTTTAATAATCTTGAAAGAAAGTAACTTGTATTTATAATTCAGATCTACTATCATCATCATTGTTATTTATATTTTCTATTAAATAAATTTATTAGGATGTGATAAACAGATTTATTAAAAAGAAAAAGAGAAATATATTTACCTGGATTGTTTATTGCTGCTTTAACAGCATCAACTAATTGTTGCATTGCAGAACTAGTAGTGAATTTGAGATTTGACATACTATCCATATTTGTATCATAAGCCATCATAGGAATTATTTTATCAACAAGAAGAAAAGGACCAGTGTGTGTAGGAAATTTAGGTTCGATGCCAAAAAAAGTAATATTATTATTATATTCCAAGTCTAATTTTAAACCATTTTCAATTTTTTTTTTAAGTGATTTTGGATCAATAGTTACAGTCAAAACCCAAACAACATTTGGTTGATATCCAATCATATTAGTTTGGTTATTTTTATCACAACAATAAATAATTATATTTTTATCTTCATCAACTTTTTTTACACCATAAGGCATTCCTTGCATAGTAGATTTTTGTCCTTTCATTGATTGAGTATGAGAATAATAAATGTATATACTAAAATTATGCCAAAAAGGTTTATTACAACATTTAGATTTGTTATTTTCCAATAATTCATTTATATTAATTGGTGTATCAATTGCTGTCATTAATTCCCAGTTATCTTGATTTAGACGAGATGCCATATTATTATCAGTGTTATCAAATCTATATGTGCCTTTTTTAAATATATCTTCTAAATCAATTTTTTCTTTAATGAAAATATTTTCATTTTTTGCAATTAAAAGGGATAATGTTATGATAAAATTACCAGATGGTTCAAATAATTTTAAATTATCATTTAAATCAATACCATTATTTTTTTCTGTATTCATTACTATACTCATATCAACTTGACAAAAGAAACCATGTAATTTTAATCTAGGTGCTTTTGGAACATCTTTAGAAATTGTTTGACCAAATCTATTTAATGCAATTAAAGAATTTGTAACAAGATTTTTATTGGTATATTTTTGTATTCCATATTTTATTGAATCATCATTATGATTTGAAATATAATTTTCCATGATATCAGTTTCAAATAATCCAAAAGTATCAATATAAGAAGCATCATTAAAAAATATAGAAATAATAGAATTGATTGGTGAAAAACTATCTTGTTTTATATTTTCATTAGTAGCATCTTCAGGATCACAAACCATATTACAAGGTAATCCAGAAATATTCATAGGATTTAATTTATTACTTGCATTTTTCATATTATGATATAATGAAAAACCATCAACATCATTACCAAAAAAATGTGTAAAAACATCATTAGAAAATTTATTTTTTTTTTTAGATGGAATATAAGAATAACTATCAAACGTTTCCCATGCTGTACGTTTAGTCATGCTGATTTAAAACAAGCCTTTAATTGTTTTTGAAAATATGTTAAATCTTGTTGTTTTCCTTTAGATTTAGATTTTTCTTTTATAGATTTCTTTTTAGTAGGTTTATCAGAATCAAAATTTGTATTAGAAGATGTATTTTCTAATTCTTTAATTGTATCTTCATTAATTATTTTTCTTGTTAAGAGATTATTTAAAGATTCGCCTAATTTAAGTAATTTTCTAATTAAGACATTTCTTTCTTTTTTTAATTTATTTTCTTGTCTTTTAGATAAATCGATTTTTTTTATTAGATATTTTTTTTCATCTTCGATTCTAGATTTGTTTAGATCATTATTATTTTTGATAATATCTTTTTTAATTTTAATAATTTCATTATTTTTTTTTCTCAATAAAGTTAATAATTCATTTTTTTCTTTATTCGAAGGTTTATTTTGTTGTGTTGTATTAGATTTATCATATCCTTTTTTGTCAATATTAATATTTGATCCTGAAGAAATTTTACTATATTCAGCAAAGGAAGTAGGTTTAAAATTATTAGATTGAAACATTGTATATTATTTTCCGATATTTACTAAAAAATTCATTAAACCACTATCTAAAAATTCTATTATTTTATAATAAGAAATACTTATAGGGAATAAAAAATCTTCAAATAAATCTGAATGTTTTTTAAATTCCACAAGTGTTATAAATGATAAATATATCAATAAAATAATAATTGTTAATCTAACTAATCTAAATATACTAATTAATAAATCACTCATGTATCGATCATAATACTCTTCAGTATTATTTTCATCAGAATTCATAATAGAATATGAAAAATATTAATCTATTTATATTTTTAAGGTAAAGAATCTATTAATTGCTCAAGATTTAAATTTTTATTATAGTATTTTTTTATTTCTTTCATAGGAATACCTCTTTTCAAACAAACACCATTGAATTGTGACCATTTATTTTTTTTAATAGATTTATATGTAAATGATTTATCATTTTTATTTATTTTGTTTTTTGGAAATGAATTTAAATAATTTTTAATATATTCAATGTTTTTTTCGATATTATCAATTTTTTTTTCAATATTAACAAGTTTTTTATTCATTTTTTCAATGAATAAAAATAAGTTTTTAAAAACACATATATAGTTTATATTTATAAAAGAAAAATTCAAAATAAAAAATTCAAAAATATTAATAAATTTACGAAGAAATCAATTTTTATTTAAATGAAAATAAACAAAATATATAAATTTATTAATAAATAATATATAATATTTTTTGAAAAAAAAAGTGATAGAAACAAGATTTTTATAAAAAAAATATGAATTTACGTAAATATACGAAAAAAAAAACAAAGAAAAAAATGATAATATTTTGTTAAAAATAAGTATTTTTGATGAAATAAAATTCAAAAAAAAAATAATATAAAAAACTTAAAGATTTTGAAACAAATTTTAAAAATTCAAAAAAAAAAATTTTTTTTCAAAACATAAAGTATAAAAAATTTAAAAATTTACGTAAAATTTATAATAATTGAAAGATAAAAAAATAGAAATTATATAAAAATTTCAAAATAAAAGAAAAAAACAATAATAAAATAGTTTTAATTTTAAGATTTGGAAAAAAAAAAGAAAAAAAATAAAAAATATTTTTTTTTTTACAATGTTTTACGACAAATTTATTTAAAAAAATTAAAATATTTAAACAAAAATAAGAATAAAAATAAAATTTATGAGTCAGATTTCAAAAACCTAATAAAAAATAATGAATTTTTTTAAAAAAAATGGTAAAATTGGAAAAATAATTGTTAAAAAAAAAATAAAAAAATAAAAATAGTTATGAAATTGTTAAAATTTGATTTATTTTATTATAATTATTTAAAATTTTTATGTAAAAATAAAAAAAATAATATTTTAGAAAAAAAAAATAAAAAAAAATAAAGAAAAACATGTAAAATGTTAAAATAATTTTGAAATCTCAAGATTTTTTTTTTAATTTTTTTGTTCCAAAATCAATATTAAGATTAGATTGTGATAATAGTTTTGAATATAGAATTTGCTTATATTTTTTCGATCCATTTTTAATAGAAACTTGCAAGTAATAATTATTATTTCCTAACATAAATTAATTGATTTAATAATAATTTAATTGTAATGATTTTGATATAATAAATTTCTTACTAATAATATAAAAATATTTTATTAATATTATGATATCGTTAATCAATAGTTTTATTTTTATTCATACCGTTTTATAGATGTCCAGGTATTATTTGAATATTTATTGTATATTTCAATATCAAAGATAAAGTTTATATTTTCCATTTGTGATTTCATTTCGAAAAAATGAAGATTATCTATACTGACATGTCTAATATGATTATTTTTATTATTGGTTACCCAATCACCATGAATTATATAATTTGTAAGATCTAAATTTCCGATATAAGCCATTTAATTATAAAAAATATAAATAGTGTAAAAGTAATATTTATTTTGAACAACAAGATGAATTTATATAAAATATCATTTATGATAATCATATTACAAATTGTTTTTATTACATTATTTCCTAATATATGTTTATCGATTTCAAATTACGATGATGAAACAAGAAATGAAAAAAAAAATTTATCATTTAATAATGATATGACAAAAGGCGTTATAATAGGATTAGCAATATCATTCATAACAAATTATCTAACAAGTGAAAAAATATCAATGATTATAGAACATATAACTAAATATATTAAAAAAAATGAAAATGAAGTTAATCTTAAAGAAGAAGATGATGATGAAGGTATAATAACAAATAATTAATATGAATATTTATTAATATGAAATAATTAATCAATTATTTATTAATTAGATATTACAAATATAAATTAAATTATTTTAAAATTAATATATTTAAAAATTTTAAATTATTAATTAAAATATACGGTTTAATAAATTAAATATAGTAAATAAAATCATGTATTAATAATTTAAATTTTAGTATTGTTAATTACAAAATAATTTTTGTTTATTATTAATAAAAAAGTATAAAATCAGAACTAAAATTATTGAAAAATTTAACATGATAACATGTCTGTTCCAAATATTTCAAATATCAAAAACATTTTGTTTGAAGAAAAAGAATGTATAAAATTTTTATTTGATAATAATATATTATACAAACCAACAAAATGTCCAGAATGTGAATCCAAATTATCTCGAGATAATAAACGATATCGGTGTATAAATAAACAATGTCGAAAATCTATCTCGATATTCAAAGATTCATTTTTTGCAAATAGTCATCTTAAATGTAATGATGTAATGATGATAGCATATTATTGGTTATGTAAATGCTCGACAAGTTCCGTATTAAAGATAACTGGTTCATCGCCAAATACTATTACAGATTATTTTAGATTTTTAAGAGAATTAGTAATTGATACTTTAGAAGATGAATCTACAAAAATTGGAGGTGAAGGAATTATTGTTGAAATTGATGAATCTAAATTTGGAAGACGAAAATATAATCGTGGTAAAAGAGTTGAAGGAGTATGGGTTATAGGAGGAATTGAAAGAACAAAAGAAAAAAGATGTTTTTTAAAGATTGTCGAAAATCGAAATAGTGAAACAATTAACAAGATAATCGAAGAATATGTTGAAAAAGGATCGATTGTATATACCGATTGCTGGAAAGGTTATAATGATATAACCGAAATGGGTGTTACACATCAAACAGTCAATCATTCAAAATGGTTTATCGATCCTGAATCGGGAGTTCATACTAATACAGTTGAAGGTTAGTAATTATTAATTAAAATATATGTATTTATTTAATATAAATACTTAAATATTAATATATTAAATTTTTTAGGTATGTGGAACGGTGTCAAATTACAAATCGCACCACGAAATAGAAATAAAGAATTAATTAATCATCATTTGTTAGAATATATTTGGCGCAAGAAAAACAAAGGCAAACTTTGGGATGCATTTATTAATGCATTACGTTCCACAGCATATTATAATGAATAATATAAATAAATAGTTCGTACAATGTAATTTCTTTTTATCACTTTTGTGATAATCAAATGTATTAGTACCCATTCGCTTATATTTCATCCATTAGAATATGATTATAAAATGTGTTATAATTAATTCAAAGTATTAATTATATATTAATTTTCCTAATAGCCTATCCAATTAGTAGACAAGTATTAGGATACAAATGTAATTAATCTGCTATTTTATATAAATATGAATATGTATAGTTTGTATGTAATCTTTTGTAATATTTAATTTGTTGTGTCCATTGTGGGGTATTGTAATTGTTAAAAGTTTGAAGAGATATAATATTATTATTTTTTTTTAATTAGAGAAGTCAATACAATAAGGTTTTTATATTTGGTTATAGATTTGATCGTTAATATTAAGAAGTGTTTAAATGATAGTTTGTAAAGCTATTTTAGTAAGTATATTGTAATTAGAAATTGTTTTAATTAAGGCTTTAGATATAAGGCCTTTAAGAATATGGTTAAGATAAAAAGAGTTTGCTTGAAATAATATTTGGTCAAATAAGAGATAATTTTAAATTTTACAAATAAGTTTATATATCTAACTAGTAAATAAATTAAGATTTGCTTTAGATAAAATATGCTAAATTAATTAATTAATAATGTTTGTAATAAGAGAAGTATTAGAGCAAGTTAGTTAGTATGAGTAGAAGTCAGAAAGATTAAGTTAAAAGCAGTTAGAATTTGTAAAAATTTTTATTTTATTTTTTTTTTAAAGAAAGATCTATTCTTTATCTCTTTTATTAATTAGTTAATTATACATATATGTAAGATACATGATGAAAAAACTATACTAAGAAAGATAGAGGTAAGAGCTACTTTATTCTTGACCTATTCTTTGCTAGAATGGTTGGTAAATCTCTAGTCTTTGATAAGCTGATAAAGAGAAGATTGTCTATGTATAATATAGAGTTGTATCTTTTTATTTA